GAACCTAAGGGCTTGGGAATTGCATAAAAATGCGCAGGAAACATGCATGTTTGTTCCAAAACAATGAACAGTGTGCCAAACACTCGCTGAAATACAATGCCCTTGGAGCTTCTGGCAATATGTAGTGTGTTCAGGTCTGGTAGGACAGAGTCAGCTTACCCTCCAGGAGCACAAGTTCACTTCAAGGTTTGCTGAACTTAAGTTTGGCGGCGTGTTTTCCACGTGCTGTGACGATTGCCTTTTGATAGAAAGCTACTTGCTAAAGGAGGCTTGCTATTGTTTTCTTTTTTCTTTCGTGTTTGATGTTACAGATTCCAGGAACATTGGAGGAAAAGTTCAAGTCAAACACAAGCGGGTAGCTCTAAATGTCCGGCGCAGCTAAGAAGGGCCTCCTCCCCGTGCGAGCTTTAGCGTTTCAAGCGGCGCAAGTCGTTCGTGGCTGTGGTGCGCAGCTCTCCCCTTCCCCAAAAGACCACTACTACCGAATTACTCCGGCTTCCTGTACCCCGTGATTCAACAGATTGTGATATTTGTATAGTTACGACAAAACGCGCTGCGTCGTGTCGAGCGAGCGATCGTTTCCTGTGTCGCCGCCGCTGCCGTCCCCTTTTCTAGACGCCTGCGAAAGTCTGTTGTGTAGCTGTTGATCTATTTGTCTTTCCGCGTTTTATTTATACTCTCGTACCTCTGGTTGTATAAGTGATGTTGGAATAAAGGAAGTGTGATGTGTGCGACATTCTCTTTTATATGCCTCTCAAACTTCTGGGAGTGGCCTAGCGCTGCACTGCCGAGGCTTCCCAGGGTAGAGGGCATGCGCCGTGAATGCGGGGACTGCATGCGCTGCTTCTGCACTCGTACCAGCTTCTTTCTTTCTGCGCGAGTGCGAGTTTTCATGTGTGCGAGATGCCCAGGTAGTTGGCTTTCTTTGGCTTCTCGTTTGCTTCGCTTAATATTTGCTTCGACTTCCTCCCAAGGAAGGATAAATCAAAGTTGCGACTGCTTATGACCTCTTGTGATATCTTATGAGAGAGCCATCTATGGGAACTGCATTTCACTCTACTCCAGAACAACTTTTTTTCGCAATGCAGTCAAAGGTTTCGTGCCCTAACCCATTTTGAGCGTGGATTAAAGTTGCACAATCACTCTCCTCCGCTCCTCGGAAACGCCGAGAAAAGTTGTCCCCAAGTATACACGTTTGCAAGTCCGGTCTCAGGGCGCCGCCATCTTCCTCAGTGGGGTGCGCTCTCGGGAGCGGCCATAATCCGATTACGACGCCTTAGCAAGGCTTCGTAATCGGATTATGACTGGTCCAAGCGCACCCCAGACAGGCAAGATGGCAGCGCCCTGAAGCCAGACTTGCAAACGTGTATAGAGTGAAGGCTTTGCAGTATTTGGGAGATCAAATGGTCGTAGCTGTGTACGAGAATTGGTCATTTATAACACTATCGTAAGCTTTTCGAGCCAATAGCAAAAGGATAATGCGCAAAAATATAGGAAATGAAATCGCAAGTTTGCTCGTTAGATGGTGCCAGTGTGTTATCTCCCCCCAAGAGATCGCGAGAGGTCGTAATGCTCTCGGCTGTAAGCAGTCGCGAGTGTGCGAATGCACCTGAACTCATCAAGTGCAATTCTTTCAATTTAATAGGTACATTGTTTTTGGCATAGACTGGCGGTAGCAGCCCAGTTGTCTCAAACTGGAGGCGCAGCATAAAGAGGCTGCATATCTTTGGTTGAACAATATTCGATGAACAAAGTTTTATTAGTTTAATAGGCATTTGCCTTTAAGAGGCTTGCTACACTTAAAACAGCTTTTTTTTTTTTTTTTAATTTTTTTTTTTGATGTGTTTTATTGTGGTGCCGAGGCACCACTCGATTGAGATATTACTGCATAGTCTTGTAGTGGCCAAGAAAGACCGAGCATGCTAATTTCTGATGTCGGGAACCCTGGAAGTCGCTTTCAAAACATGTTTTCTGTCATTTTGGTGTTTATATAAATTGTTTTATGGATTCTATTACATACCTCGGACTGCTTATCGTCATCCCACGTAGCTCTCCCAGCTCTCAGCTGTAAAGTTTTTTTGTTTTTTTTGCTGGGTTCTTTTGAACAGTTTGACAAGTGTGTCAATGTGGTTAATGAAAGTAAAAGACAAAAAGGGAATGTCACGTTTTGCAGTTTGCTTTCATTTTTTTAGTTGGGGGTCGTCGTTCCATGAAAATCTATCTACCTTAATATCTTGAGATAGCCCACCTAAAATCGAAAGCAAGTCGATTGAAAATAAGAAGTGAGCTAACTTTTGGTGTGCGTCAAAAAAAGTTGAAAAATGTGTTTTAGATTTTGTGACGGGCGACAAACCAAAGGCGGCTGTCCTTTGCAGTTGGCTATGTTCGATTCTCTCCCACCCTGGCTAAGTAACACCATTTCTGCCGAGATCACCATTGGTCAGGGCCCTGCACTTACTTACTAGAACTGGGCCATCTATGTTTTTGAAAATAATAGCAAATTGTGAACACGCTCGTTTTCAATTATTACTGGGGATATTATGGTATGCATTAACAAGTACCTTGCCAGATGCAGTTTAAGTTAGTCCTTAATGTGATGCAACTGATGCACCAGATGCCATTTTAAACGGGAGAATTTTTGCCTGTGTCTGAACCTCTAGACAATCTTTTTATTTGCAAACAGTCGTCAATAATATGTTTGTTTAAAAAAACTTTCTGGGGCAGATTGTTTTTGTGCCGAATCAGCGCTGTTGAAGGTAGTTTCGATAAAGTCGATAGTCATTGTAGTGCGCACAATGTAATCGAGAGCCAATCCTTCCCCCTGCATCCCAAACGTGCAGCATTTTTGTGTAGTTGCAATTTTTTTTCACCATTGCTGGCAAAAGTTGTTATAAACAATATGAACATTTACCTTACAACTATAGACCCACGTCAATTGCTGGCTTCCCACTCAAAATTCTCGAACATACATACTCTTCTCCCATATTGCACATTTTCTCGAATCAAAATCACATTTTCAGCCCACCCAGCCTGGCTTTTGAAAGTCATATTCATGTGAAATGTAGCCACTCTTATTCACCTGCAAGATCCATACTTGACGACTAACCTTTTCCAGACCCTATTTTTCTGGGGTTTTTTAACGGCGTCGACTCTCCCCTAGACTTTGTCACCCCTATCGTACCTCGAGCCACAGTTCTTGGTCCACTCCTTTTTCTCATCTTTATTAATGACTTGCCTAGCTGCATAGCCTCTTCATTCATTTGCGGACAATAGTGTTCTTTTTCGCAAAGTAACGACCAACGAGGACACATTAGTGCTCCAGTCAGTGTAACACGTGGCAAATGGTGCTTAATGTGAACAAGAGCAAATGCATGGAATTTCCCACCGCCTTACTAACCTACCTTTATAGCACCTCCATGTTGTACTGGAAACAGTCTAGTAATGCAGGTATCTACAGAAAATACCGGAGAAGCACGCAACCCACTTCCATTAAAAAATTGGGTTATTCTAGACAAGAGCACGTAACGTGTAATTGTCAGAATTCCCAAGTTTGGGAAATGTTAATAGGGGGCGCTTGAGTGAAGTGGGCGCTTCTGCGGTATTTTATGCTAAGTATTTATGTGGCTTCCGATCTTAGCTGGTAAACTCATTGAAATTGCCATTAACAAAGGTAATTGCATGCTAGGTTACTTAAAACAAAACCTCCATTTTGCCCCTACCACCGTTAAATTACTCTTCTACAAAACCATTGTACATTCACAACTAGAAAACACATTATTGATATGGGTCCCCGGCATTGAAATTCTCACTAATCAATTGAAAATGATTGTTCAAGATATGATATGCTTCGAAAAAGTAAATTGTACTTTAAGCCATTCAGAGTTATGAAACAAACACGAGGAAAAAAATTTGCGGCGCTTCACCAGTTGCCGTTCGAACAGCAGGTGCCGACGCAAGATGAGGGACTTGGTCCCGGTGGTAGAGTTTTCGTCAGAAATGAGTCAAAACATGAGAAGTGCCTAGACGATGTTTCTGATGCACAGTGTGTCTCTGTTTTCCCCCTTTCTCTCCTAGAACTGTTCTCCGAAGAGGAGCAGGGAGGATGCGTTGAAAACGGTCCCTCCGCACATGTGAGGGTTGCGGAGGAAAACTCGACGCTCGACAAGCGTTCCCCGAGATACGCTTAGCATTGCAACGGCCGTACATATTTTACACATTAGTAGATACCACGTTGGGACTTGTTTTTGAATAGAGTACTCCCCTTTTGGGTTTTTATATAGAGTGTACAGTGCTCCAACCCGGTGATTTATAGGAATATTTTCGTTACCCATTGTTGACTTGCATCTGGTCAATGTTACGCTGTCTTTCGTGGAGTAAGCACGCAGTACATGTGCTCGAATGGACGATGGTGCGCGAAAGGGATCAATTTATGTTGAGTGTGTGCCGCGAGAGTGGTGCATATGTAGCAATGCAGTCACGCCGCTCACATTTTAAACTTTTTTTGTACAACTATGGTTTTGAATCTCCTAAGCTGTTTTAGCTTTTATCTGTTGCAATAAACCGCAACGATTCCCAATTAAGTTTTACCTTGCACACCAACTTTAAAAAAGTTTGTTAGATAGTTTACACACTGGCGTTTGCTTGGGATTGAGTTTTTGTGACCTCTTACGACGAGAGAACACGCTGGCACCATCTATGAGAGGGCCTTGGAATGGCATTTCACTAGAGCGAAGGTTTTGCAGTATTTGCAAGTTCAAGTGTTCATACAATTTAGGAGAAATGGTTGTTTATAACGCGGTCACAAGTTTTTTCAAGTCAACAAAGAAAGGATGATGCGTAAAAGAAGTAAGAAATGTATGACTACCAGTGTGTTCTCTCGTCATAAGAGATCGTGAGGCACTCGCTCGGTCGCAAACAGTTGCAATTGTGTTTAGCCGTTTCTGCAGTGTGTTTTCCTGGCAGTTGCTGTAAACCCTCACAAATAATAATAAACCAGGTGATCCTTCTAGCAAACCATTCTTATTCTGAAACAAAAGAATTTCTTGTTACAGGCCGTCTGCGACACTTATGTACACAACAACTAGAACGCTGTAGAAACGCCAACCTCAGCGTCGTAATACTGTCCTCGCGCCGGCACTGTACACTTTGGACGCTGGTTATGCCACCCCTTCACCGCATGGCTGTTTGGAGACATTTGGCTGCAAGTTCAGCCGTTCAGAGACATTCAGCTGTTTGAAGACATTTGGCCGTTCGAATGTGTTCGAAGACGTAGCTGTGCTTCAGTGGATGCTCCTAATTGGAGTGCTTGGTTGTTTTCTCCGAATACTTGATGCCCTCGTTCTTGAGCCGCTGCAGCATTGGGGCGTAGATTTCTTGGGCAAATGGAAGCACCATCCCCTTGGCTTGGATCTCGCCTGCGGACAAAAATTTGTTTCCTCTCAGATGATGCTTTTTTTCAGAATGATTAAAAAGAGTATGTCATTAGCGCCAATTAAAATTGGTACCGATGATCATTGCCATGTCGAGCAGTGACTTAGCCAGGAATTTTTTGGAGGGAAGAGGGGGGGGTTGAAATGCATGTGTATATTACGGTCTACTGGATTTTGGGGTGTGTGGGGGGGTAAAAGTGCACCAAAGCCCCTTCCCTGGCTACGCCACTGATGTCGAGGTATGGTATTGCATCTCAGTTTTAGGGTCTCTGCTACTTCTGTTGTGTTGCACATACGAGTGCATGCGCCCTATCGTTAATGGTTGACGGGTATAATTAAAACTTTAAGGAGGCACTTATGAAATATTTTAAAATAAAAAAAAAAGATTGTGGCCCTTTTTTTACAGTTTTGATTTCAGATGTATTTTAGATAATAAAGTAATTTATGGCAAAAAGGTTGTCTTCTTTCAAACACAACCAAATTTAACATATGGTTTTTATGCGAGTGTACAGTGCTCCACCCTGGTTATTTATAGGAATTTTTTTCTATACCCATTGTTACATCTGGTTAATGCAAGACCATGTAGACGTGTCCCATTACACCAAACATCGTGTTAGATATACAGTGAGTAATATATCATAATTAAGGCAGAAACTGGAGAACGAGGTTTGTTTAGCAATTTTCTCTATCTTGTTCCCTAATATCTTTGTGATCATGGGACTTCCTTTTTCAACAGAAAGTTGCACATTCGGCTAAATTCTAGATGGCTACCATTGGGCTTGAGCTTTAGGTTGTATATTTATCCGCCAAATTTAGCAGGGAATTTTTTCCGCTAAATTTAGCGGGGAAAATAACCCATAATGCGATCCACAATGACGTCATTATGGGAAACGTCCCGTAATGCAACGCGCGGTTACGGCAACGCCGCTCAGGCCGGAAATGGGTGCCTTAAGAGGTGCGCTCTAAGACTAAAAGTTACTAATTCATTTTATATTTGGGGGAAAAATACGTATGGTTCCAATTAGAAATTTGATGAGCATCAACAAACTCCTCTAAATCAGTCAATTTTGCGAAGACAAAGCACGGGAGTGCACTTAAGTTACTACTCATGCAGCTGGGACAAGGAGGCTGGCAATGCAATATCAAAAAAGATAAAAAGAAGAAGAAAATAGATGGTGCTACGGAGATAAGAATCTTGCTGCATTTTCGCTTCACCAGTGCCACCCGAGTGGAAAGTTTAGTTAACCCCCATGCCTCGCACAAAATTGACTGATTTAAGCGTTTTGAATGACGCTCAACTAGTTTCTAGTTGTAACCATACCGTAGGTTTATTTTCACTAATTAAGAAGGTAATTATTAGTGATGGACCGAATCTGCCGAACTTCATATTCTACAAAGTTTGGGACATGCCGAACTTTTGAAGAAAAGTTAAGCAAAGATTAGGCAAAACTTCGGCAAACGTCTGCGTATGCGCGAGAATGCGACGGGGCCATGTATTACAAGTGGACGCCGTGCGGTTCTGCGGTTAAAATCGTACATTGTAGTACTGCCAGTGGTTACGGAGAGGTGCGGAGTAGGCAACATGGTAACTGTGTGTTTGTCAGCCTTTGTGAGTGTGGTTCTCTAATATTTTCTGCCTCAAGAACGGAAGATCGACCAGGAATTGACGCAGTCCACTGCGCAAGTGACAAATGATGCGGTACATTCTGGATAACGTGATTTTCATTTGATCTTTTCAGTGATGCAACGAGGTAGTTGCAACATTGACTGACAAGTACTTTAAAGTAGTCCTCGCAATTATAGCAATCCTGTTTTCGACTCTGAAGTAGTTTGTGCCAAAGCAAAATAATATTGTTTTTTAATTACCATTATTTCACGGTTTTTATCCATCCGCGTAAAACTAAACAGAACTATCGTGCTCGACGTTGCACATCCGACATTCCAAACTCTTCCCATCTTCCTAAACGTTCGCAAATGTCCTACCATGGGAAACCGGCATTTTAAAAGTTAAAAACGAGACATTGCGAATGTGGGACGCACACTTTCATGCAAAGCTAGTGTCAAGTGACTCAAATCGAAAAACGTGCACATTTACAATAATATTGCTATCTCTTCTAGCAGCCATTGCGTTCATTTTCGCTCACTGAATGGTGACTCGCAGAGAAAGTAAGAACACAGTGTTACCGCCTTTATTTTTGCAATGTACACACTTGCTGGCTTGCTCTGATGAGGCCTCAAAACGAAACTCGTGACTGCGCCCGCCACTACCCGACCCCGTCATACCACTTCTGCAAAAAGTAACTGTAAAATTGCCAGTATACACAAAAATGACATTGATCCAATTATCCTGTAGAATATCGCCTTATCTATTAATAACCGTGTCAATATGCATTAAAAAAAATCCTGAAATATTGTTTTGCTTGGAAGAACAAATTTTCAACTTTAAAGTCTGGCCAACAATGTATTTTTGCCGAATCTTTAAAAAAGTTTGGCAAAACTTTGGCTTTGCCGAGTCATGAGTTTGTCGACAAATTTTTTATTTGTCAAAAGTTTGCTTGATCATTAGTAATTATTAGTACATTATTTTTTTGCAATTTTTGACGGTCGTTGTGGCTGGCAGTTTGTCTTGAACAGTTTTTGCTTTTTTCTCTCCAAGACTTTGTTGGTTAAAATGCCGGTTTGCATTGTTATTTGAAGGCCACTAAAGCAGTCGGTATTCCACAGTTGACTGTGGTTATCACTTTATTATTTGGCTTTACTACACCTACCTTGCAAGATCATCTTGGCAGCAATGGCCGCGGGGTAGCCGACAGTCTTTGCCATGGCCGAGTAGCCGTTGGGGTCACCGTAGGTCACCATGTTGATTTGGCGGGTCTCCTGCATGAGTTGGGTGTTTTTGCTCGCTAATCCTCTTAAAGGGGCAACGACATTGGCTAGGAATGTTTCTCACTTTACACAAACTTACGGACACAAGGGGGGCCCAAGTATACTCGCACGCAACAGGACTGACCAAGAAGCTTCTTTGCCGCCGCGTAATTTCGAGGATAAAAGCGGACATTCTCTTTCGGTGTTTCCACAAAACTTGACGACAACGGTGTACAAATCCCATTGTTGGGGTCGTCAACAATGCTGTTGGGGTCGTCAACAATGCTAAGAATTTGGTCACCAAGCTTCCCCGTGGCGATGATACTTAAATGCGGCTCGTACGGCAGACTTGAGTACCGCAGGAGCATTTTAGTTGGGCTCTCAACAGTTGATGACTTCATGCATGTTTAAGTAGCGGCTTGTGCCGAATTGGAGCGACGTAGGGGAGAGCCGCACCGTAAAAATTGCGCCACTTGGCGTCTGCCCCACGCTTCAACAATCTTGACGAGTGGCTGCTACGATAAACATTGGCAGCATAGAACCGACCCCAGATCATGTGGCCGCTCGTTCTGGCCCCGAGTTGCGGGGAATAACGCCGCTCTGTTTTCTAAAATATTTTTTGCAACTGCTATCGCGTGCAGAAAAACATCTAACGCGTGTTTCGTAGGTTACGAATGTCGAAGAATATGTGTAAGCAGTATTTACCGAAGGTACAAAAATTGTTGCGTCGCCCCTTCAAAAACGAGCTAAAAAGACCTCCAAGCATCCAGTTAGGACGCAAAAAAAAAAAGAGTAGGACGCCCAGATAAAGAGTATGTAGCATCAAGATTTACCTTCTTCTCGTCGTGCCACTGGATCCCGATCTCGTGCCTCATTATGACCAAGTCCCTCTCGCCCGGCTCTGGAAGTCGGGGAAAGGGGAGTCGCGTGATGTATGGTCTTGGATGCCATACGCCAAGGGCATTTTTACGTTACATTCACTACTTGTCTAAGTTTCAGTTTCACACATTTGCGACTGCTTACGGCTGTGTAATCTGTTACGACGGAAGAAGACAGTGGCACCTTTTATTGCGTGCTTGGAACATTCGCATTCCGAGTCTGCACGGTATGCGGAGTGCAAGTTCGTCTGCTTCTTGCACAGGGGTTGCGGTGATGTCGGAACGCCGAGCTCTTATTGGCGGTAAGAAAAAATAGTGGGTAGACCTCGAGGCATCTAGCATTGAGGTCTACCCGCTATCAATCGAAGCCTATTGGAGCTGGCGTTGTTCCGACGCCACCGCGACTCCCGCGCAAAAAGCAGACAACTTGCTCTCCGCATTGGATGCCGCACACGCGCCTACATTTGTCTGGCCGGTAAGCACTGAAAAGTTTTGTAGCGTGAAATCACCCAAATTAGATAGACTAGAGTTCAAATACCACGAGCAACTTTAAAGCCGCAGTCGCACTGTTGATACGTCGTATAGAAGACGTGTCTTAAGCGCAGACACAATGACATCTGCGGACACGCCTTCGGCTTGTTTGAAGCATGCTTGCTTCGTACATGATGTGTCTGCAGACGGTTTTGGTATGATGACAAGACAAGGAAGAAAGACGGTTTCTGCAGACTCATTTGTATGATGTGTTAGCAGTGTGGCCGTGGCTTAAAGGGAACTTTCTGAAAACATTGGGGCAGCCACTGCTAGAGGCTTCCGGAAGGTTCTACTTCAAGTTCTTCATTACAAGGTTCTGATATCTATGCATTCTGTGGGGACTCACCATAAGCGAGTTTGTTGGACAGGTGGAAGACCAGGGTATCCAGGGGGGTGCTCTTTTTCTCCACGGGAATGTCTTCCAGAAGTCCGAGGCTAGGGAAAGAGGAGGCCATTTGACAGATTGTGCCAGCGTGAGCTTGGAGTGTTCGACGGTAGCGGCAGGTATTCGACTTTAATGAAGCGTGGCACGTCACAAAGACGCACATGCATGCTGCAAAGTGTGTGGGCATTATTTACCCCGTTGACATCCAAGCCAGTGCGTCAGTCTTGGAGAATGTTCCGACATATTTGACATGGCACATGGTTAAGGGTCTGGCAGACACTCGTTTCTTGTGACTGACTAAATGGTACCGTGCCACATTTCATGGCACCCTAGATGTGTGGTAGGAATGACAATAATGGATGCAGAAATACCTTAATAAAAACATGTCTGCCTTCTAAACCTCTTACTTACAAGCTTGGTAAAAAGAAATTGTCTTACTCTGAAACAGCAATTTTTAAGGAGTAAAAAAAGTAACAGAAACGAAAAAAGCAAAACAAAATGGGTGACAATTTACTGAGGGGCCACTACACAACAGGTCAGGAGTCGGGGTGGTCGAAAGATATTGGTTTCAAACCACACAGGCTAAATGGTGCAAGCTGCAGCCTGACTCGTGAATGGACATAAAATACCCGAATGTATAAAATATTTATCTCTAAAGACATACTTGTATGTGGCGAAGTCTGCTCAAATATTTTGAATGTGTTTTATTTTTAGTAACATAAATAACTTTGGTATTGTGATAGCATGTAACATTAGTGCTAACAAGCAAAGCTTTATTTGCTACCTACCACCACAATTGTTTTGGCCCGATTTTGGCCTTTCTCAGTATAAGTACCAAGGCTATTATATATCAGCTTGAGGTGCTGGAACATATGATAGAAACTGCATTTGGGTTGTCTTTTGGGGCTTTGATGGAATACACTTTACTGAGCTGCCTGATGAGTACTATTGAAAAAATTCTTAAGAAACTTTTCGTAGGCACCCACAATTCAACCCTTGCAAACAAACAGCCGGTTTTTCTAGTTTTTTTTTTTAAATAATTGATGTTATTGAAACTGTTACTACTGTGCTGTAATCTGTGTTTTTTGAGAACCAACCTAAGTACAGTGATGTGATTGCAGCACCATTTGCGCCAAACTGCTACCCTGCTACGTCTTGCTACATTTCGACAATATGTGATGAATTTGCGTCAACATTGCCCCAAAACGTAGTTTCACTTTATTAATACTGAAAATATAGTAGCCGAGGGCCCGCTACACGGCCGGATTGTTACAGTGGGCTCATCCGAATTTCAGAACTTTCGATTATCGCCCCCTTAAATAACTACTACATACATTTCGATTTGATCCCCATTTAAAACGCAGACAGTACCCAGAAGTCGCGCAACATTCCCATGTTCGTAGTCTGTTCTGGTGGATTAGGTAGCTTCGTTAAGCGCGCTTCTCTCCGCATGTTCATGCACCGCAGTGAAGCGGAAACTGAAAAGTAGGCATCCCATTTTTTTTGTATCTTGCTTAACTGCAGTGCAACCACGTACTAAGGGAAAAGCACTTCTCCAGAGCAAGGCGTTGCACACACGAGCGTCAAGCATATACAGTGCAATCCACTTATACCAATGATGAGAAAACCCGAAGATTTAATCGTTATAACTGATTATCGTTGTATCTGGACTAGAAAGTGATTGTTCTAGTCTAGAAACTCTAGAAACTGATCGTTATAACCGGTAGATCGGTATATGCGGTATCGTTATAAGTAGATTGCACTGTATAGACCTTTTCATTTTAGATACAGTTGCCTCACCAGCGGATAGAGGGCGCTGACGTGTAGGCACTTTTGGCAAACTGGAAGTGACTCACTCTTCAACAGCCCTGGTCCTAAGCTCGCACTTGTCCACCCTCTCGAAGATGAGATTCCTAATGTTGGAGGTAAGCAGGTTGTCTTGCTGACCCAGCAGGGCACTCATGAACTGGCGCTGGTAGGGTGAGGGAAAGGTAGGGTGAGGGAAAGGAAGGCCGGGGAGGAAGAAGCAGACGGAACGCTGGAGAGAGGAGGAGGTTTCCCTCTCTCCTCTCCAGCGTTCCGTCTGCTTCCTCCTCCCCAGCCTTTCCTCCTCCCGTCCTACATTCTTGAGTTTCAACAGACTATAGTATAGTCATTTTCAACGATGCCCAGCTAGTCTCTAATTGAAATCATATACTTTTATTACAAACCACGCAACTACCCGATTAGAAATATAACTGTGGAAAATTAAGTCCACTGTCTTTTCACGTGTGGACCTTATGGCAGTGACTAAGATGGCTTCAATTTTATTTATCCGTATGTCATATAGTTTTCACAAGAAAATTTTGGCTAACATTTTCTAAAACACCAGTTGCACAGATGATTTGTGAGTAAATCTGAATTCAGGTCGAGCATTATATTTTCCTGGGCCGCGGTATTTGATGCCAGATACGATAGACAGGAAAAACCACTACACAACCCGGCCGAATATGTGAAGTCTAAGGAGGTAGCACAATTTGCAGTGTATACACTAGTGCCATCTCTCGGTGTTACACTTAACCTCCTGTTTTCCGCCGACAAGAAAGGTGTTTAATAAATAGTATACTCTCTGGGCAATGCGGGTGAATATCCTCCGGTTACTTTAGATAGCCTAGGCTCAGTCCAGCTAAACTTTGCTGGTGAATCTTAGGTGTCGGAGAAATAAGAGGAGCGTACCCAGGTGATGTCAGGTCCCCTGGGGTGCAGGCTCGGGTGGGGATCGTCGCTCAGGAGCCCCAGCATCTGCAGGCCCTTCATAGAGCTGGAGAAGCCCTGAACAAGCGAGGAAGCCTTCAGAACATGGGTCTTTTACGCGCCACATAACAGGAATGCGAGCGGCTGCAGGTGTGTTCAACCTTAGCTCCTTCATGTGTGCTATCACATAACAGGTGCAGGGAAGCAGGCACGGGCAGATTTATAGGTCGGGCTTGGGAAGAGGCGTTTGGCTGGAGGCTGCAGCAAGATCCGACGTTACGGACGGACGCGATGTCACGGACAAATTGTCGCTCAGGTCCTTTTTGTTCACCCAATCTTCACGATACTAAAACCCGAGACATCGGCAAAAAACTCAAATGCAACGGTTGTGTTTGTCTTTTTTTGCCCCCGTCTCGGGTTTTAGTTTGTCGAGGAACAACTGGCTTGCCTGCCTAGTAACTTTGTCTGATTTGCCATTTCATCAAAAAACTAAACATATCTTCCTAAAAAGGAAAAAAAGCTGGTGTACAGTGTTTTCTTTATAAAAATGTTCCCTTGGGAGCTTTGGGGGAAGCATTCAACCCTTCTCCCCCTTCCCTTCCCTTCCCTTCCCTTCCCTTCCCTTCCCTCCCTCCCCTCCCCTCCCTCCCTCCCTCCCTCCCTCCCCTCCCCTCCCCTCCCCTCCCCTCCCCTCCCCTCCCCTCCCCTCCCCTCCCCTCCCCTCCCTCCCTCCCTCCCTCCCTCCCTCCCTCCCTCCCTCCCTCCCCCCCCCCCCCCCCCCCCCCCCCCCCCGCCCCATAAATCGCCCCTTGATGCTGCTGTGTTCCGCATGCACAGTCCCAATCTCGACCGGCATTTTTTTGTGCAGGAAAAAACCCAACTCCGAGTCGGAAACACTTTTCTTTCTGGGTCAAAGGACCCTCATGCATTGAGTTAGAGTTAAAATACTACCACTTATAAATGCTTTCTCAGAGGTTCTCGTCCTTGGTATAAAATATTGAATCGAGTTGGCTCGAACGTGAGCGTGGACGCATTCTCTTGCCTTGTATCGCAGAGTCCCTCGAAGCACCGTGTGCGCATAATTGATCCCGTAGGTAGACTTGTAGCTGAGGGAGTCCCTGTTGGGGTAGCCCTCCAGGTTGAAGCCCGGGAGGAAGTCCACCTCGTGGGCACTGTCCAAGAGTCCACCCCCTGCCACAATCTCTTGCTCCTGCAAGCAAAGGCCCCGCGTCGAGGCAGCGTTCCTGAATCCTTTCTGGAGGCAAGGAAGGGAAGGCTCCCCAATCAGAAGCCGATTCGTGGCACTGCCTGAATAACTAGTCATGATTAGATTATATCGATAGCTTTTTCTGTTTTTGATTCTGCCTTGGAATGAGATAATGTTGTTGTTTCTTGCTGCTCAATCGGTCTTGCATCTTTTTGTTTTTATTGTGCGTGTGCACCCGTGTACTATATAAGCTGAAACACTATATCCGGCCCTTTTGTGCATTTGCGGTCTTCATAACCTCAATTACCTGTCAAGTTGTCAAATAGTCTGAAGTATGAAACCTCACCTTAGCACAGCAGTTCTCAAGTCTTCGAAATTGTTCATATGGGTCCGCGCCAGGTAAATAAAAAAAAAGGTAAAAGAAAAAAAAAAAAAAAAAAAGCCTTTTTATGAAATTGCACGAGACCTCTGATGCAGAATGCATTCTGGGTCCCCGGCCTCCGAGTGACGGCCAAAAGTTTACGAACCACTGCCCTAGCATTTCAGTCCTAGTGCGGACCACAGCTCTCTCAAAAACTGGCAGATACGCCAAAGAAGCATCAAGAAGTTTCCAGCTCGTGCATTTTGTCCGCGATAGTGCCACAATTGCTCCTCTACTTCGTATATGTTGATATATGTTAGCAGAGTATAAAATAATAATAAGTTACCTTGCCATTTTCGAGGTACTTTGCCCATCCCATGCTGTTGATGATGGAGCTCTTTGGACTCCAGCTAAAACAAAAAAAGTTGTTATGGTCGACGTTACAAGATTGAGCAAGCAAGAGTGGCTATGCAGCACAATATGTATAATAAGCTATCGGTGTTACTAAGAGAGCACAATTGCAGTCAAATCCTTCATTAGTAGGCAGCATTTGTAGTCTTAATGCCACTAGAAGAGCATTATCTGTAATTTTGTGATAAGGGCCTTACCTGAACTTGTACCTGAGTGCATTATCTGCGTGCTCTGGGGCTGGGAGGCCACCGCAATAAGACACGTACGACACTATCTGCAACCAAAGAAAAAGTGAGGACTGGTTACCTCCAACAGTCCTACTGTTGCTTGCACTACATTGTATTCAAGTCCTTGTGCAGAGAACCTATCTTGCTGCTTTTGCAGAACTCCACTGCAGTATCCTCTAGGAATGCGTGTTGTGTTGATGCAAATTAATGTTGTCTTTAAGATGTGCTCGCAATATTTGTATGTAAAAGACATGGTTGTCACTGTAGCAGTGGTCATGTCACTTAATTTGCATTTTGTAAAATAATTGTATGGGAACTGGCTAGGCAATTGTGTTGTATACGTGAAATGTTTTGTGATTGCAAACGTTAGCAATACTTTGGGTTTTCAGACACCAGACACTTAAGTTCACGGCGCTCTTCACCAGATAACTTAAAGCGTGGCATGCGTACACTCCATAGTTGTTCCTAGACGGGCTCACCGCCTCTTCGGGGCGAGCAAGCGTGCCGCGTGACAGAATTTGCTATTCGAATGAAGCTGAATTGGTGCAAAGGTCATGTGACGTCAATTTCCCCGCTAAATTTAACGGAAAAACTAGACTCGAATGTGGGTCACGTGACGTCAATTTCCCCGCTAAATTTAGCGGGTGAAACTGTATTGGTATATAAGTCACATGACGTCATATTATGTGGCGTCATTGTAACGTCGTGAAGTCACAAGTCACTGCTTCCACAAAATGCGGCTTCACAGCATCCGGAGCAAGTAGCCAAAGAACATTTCACGTTAAAATGGTTCATCTACCACCGTATTCGTCTTTTGCTAAAGAACTTCTAAAGCTTCGAAACAAATTATTTGTATCCGTTCACGGTCCTGCTCTAAATTTGGCACGTACCTTTCCACCCTTCCGCCGGACTTCGTCGAAGCATTCCATGGCCAGGAGATGGTCGATACCCGGATCGAGCCCAACTTCATTCAGGACGGTAATGTTTGCCTCTGCAGCCCTGCATTTTGTACAAAAGATGCAAATCTTTTGCACGGTGTTATCAGCTAGCCTAGACTCTGTGCAAGAAACAACATTGTCTGCTAACCGTGTTAGCATCGTCTGCTAATGCCCAAGTTTCACTGAAGTGAAAAACACAAACAACAGACATTACCGAGCCCCAAGCGTGTGCAACATGCATGCGAAGGTGCCTTTGGCGGGTCTGCAATCTCCTGGTGCTCACGAACTAACCATGAGTGGTTGCTAGCCTGCTACAGATATTTGCACGCATGCTGCCTGTGCTTGGAGGCTTGTCAGTGTCAGTTTTCTCTGTTTTTCACTCTAGTGGGACTCGGGAAAAGCTGTTACCACCATTTGCTAACACAGTTAGCAGACGATGCTGCCCATTTGAGGGGTGCAGAGCAAAGAGGACTCACGCATTGTGAAGCTCCCTCATTTCAGGGGTGCAGTAGCTCGCCGTGACCATGTTGGTTCCGTGCCTGATGCACTGGTGGGCGATGGTGGGGTGCAGGGAGTAGGGCAGCAGGCTGTTGGACAGACGGAAGCGCCGGGCGTTTCAGAGTATTTACGGGGGGCCCCAAGTAGCAGAAGGCCGATATGTATTTGCTTGAAGGATGCTACATGAGCTTACACTCTTACAACTACGGTACAACCTCTATATAGTATAGTGAATGATATTGCAAAGATATGGATCTAGCTGGAACTTTTCCCAGCACTTTTCTAGATAGGTTGCGACTAAATTCAGCAGGAAATACCCCACCTCCAACGTAAGCTTTCTCCGCGGAGCGCATGATGCCAAACAGGCTGGAAGACAACATGTGCATATTGGAGTCTGAGCATCTATTGCTGATCTAATGTTGCATAAAGACTGATGGGGTATTCAGTGGCAGCCATAGCTGAGTGCATGGCTGTCAAGCACGAGCCGACAAGTTTCCACAGTGCTTTTGCGACATGCATTCCACACCAGCAAGACTTATATGCTGCTGGTCTCAGCAGCATATAAGTGCGGCCTCAGACTGAGCATGCGTTGTAAACATCACACTCAGATATGGCGTCCAGTAGGTACCCCCCATACATCTTTTACACAAGGGAGCAGCCATTCTTGACTGTCGTCACTTCTGGTATGTTGTAAAACATTGTTTTGATCTCTCCACGCCGCTGGAAGGTGTGTACGAGAAATGCGTGATTGTCACACATTCTTGTTTTGCCTCACCTATATTTCCTCGCATATTCCGAGTTGAAATGTTTTATTTTTTCTCCCCGCATACCAGATGCAGAACCCACGTGACTGAGAATGACAGGAAACAAAAAATGTCTATGGAAACATTTTGTTCTATAGCAACCGAGATCTGTGCAATGGGCCATAGTAGAATGCAAGGAGCTGTAACGCAGTTGATTACACACAAATGCAAATGCTCGAACCAGCCTTTAGGATGCTGGGAACTTGTCAAGCTTCTCACACAGTTTTCTTTATTCCCCCCCCCCCCCCCCCCCCCTTACTTCAGTGAATGGCATTCTTAAAATATGTCCAATATGTGTACAGTTTGAGCTAATAGCTTTTAATGCTGCACTAAGTCTGGAGGACACAGGAAGCACACACCTGACCACCAGGTCCGACTCCTTGACAAGGTTCTGTATGGCATCGGAAGTCTTGGTGACGTCGACCACCACTGAATCCGTGTTGGGTGTCTTGGTGGCCAGGGCCTCCCCTTCCTTCTGCAAAGCCGATCCTGAAATCGAGCAAAGCCAAGATGAGGCCAAGAAGCAGGATTAGCCGAAAGGCTCGATCACTAAAGCCTTTGTCTTCGTAATTTTAGTAGCTCAATCTGCACGATTTAGGCCAAGGATCGGAAACTTTTTGCAGTGCAGACCGAGTCGTCAGAGACACAAAGCCGGCCGGATGGCAAGTCGCGAAAAGAGGGGGGTGGTGTCAAGAAAAAGCATAAAGGAAGTGAAGAAATGCCAATTGGAAATGCTCCTCCCTCCTTTCTAACCGCATTTGAGGTTGAAACTGCCATGTGGTCCTTGAGTCTGTGTGAGGAAGTGGCAAGAGGGTAGGGGCTTTTCTGCAAGGGGCAGCACAAAACGTCCTCGCGGGCTACAGGTTGCCGACCCCTGCTTTGCTTTAGGCCTTCGGGAGTTTCAATAGATTGTTCCGATAACTCCGATAGTGATACTGAATACCCTGTTATGGTGCCATTTGCACGTGCATCGTATGGTATCATCATCAGATATTGCTATCGGAGTTGTCGGAACAATGTCCTAAAACTTCCTATTCTTAAATTCAACAACTTGTCTGTACATGTGCTTGCGTTTGAAGGATTAGTGTCTGAGTTGACACATATCCTTTCAGCAGCACCACCAGTAAGGCTTGTGGTTGCTTGCAGTAAAGCTGTCATTTTGTCTTTCTTTTCTCCTAAGCCTACTCCTTCTATAAAACTCTAAAAGAGACAGGAGGGGTAGGAATCTCTGATGGCTCCTATATACAGGGTGTCAAAAAAAAATATATATTTACGAGGTTTTTTTTATTACACAAGAAAAAAGTATGCATCACCGAACGCTTATTGTCTGCCGAAATGTGGCGCCAGTGGTCGGGACCAGATGTCAAAGTTTCAGAACGAACTCAAAAGTTATAAGTTATCTTTTCAAAAATGTTCAATGCAGAAATAGCGGCCGACGAAACCTTCGAATACATGGAGCTGAGTGGTGCCAGTTACAGAGAATGGCACTCATTTTCACTTTTAAAGTTCTAGAAAATTGCTCTTAACTTTTGAACAAGATAGTGGTATGATTCAGACCGCTACCGCTACCTTTGAGAGGAGAATGAGCGTTCGACAATGCTCGTTTATTTTTGCAGTAGAAAAAATCCTGCAATTTTTTCGGAGGGACATGTAGAAGCAGGGTGCAAAAGAAAATTTTTTAGCTTCTTAGAATTCACCTAAAAAGCAAAGACTTAGAAACAAAGCAGAGATAAAAACATTGAAAAGACAAGAACATAATTACCTATGACAACATGCACGGAATCGTCCCTTGTGAGGTACTCCACCAACGGTGCAGAGACATAACCAGCACCCAGCACCAGCACTTTCTTCATTTTGGCAGCGGTGACACTCTGGGCCTTCTTCATGGACCTGGATAAGCGAAGGAAACGCAACTGCTGCGCTCTAGTCTTTGCCACAGATAAGTGAACCGGACACGAGATAACGTTAACATCACACTCCTATTTTTTTTTTACTTTCAGTGTTTATTTGTTTTAGGCTGGCTAGACAAGCAGCTGTTATCTTTGTTCAACTTACCTCGATGTGTGCCTGAGATCTTCTATATACTCGTAGCTAGGCGTGAGTGTTCCGTTGCTGGCGATGGTTGCCTGGAGCATGAAAAATTGCTGAACTGTTACAGCAAACCCTGTCCAAATTCAGCATACTCAATTTAATTCTTAGCGCACTGAACCTATCACGAAGGTGTGGGGGATGCCCTCATGATCAATCTGCACATTTAACCCAAAATTCCATCACACAGTTAGCCTATCAGAAGTAGATGTTAGCCCCCTCATCCCAAAAACAAAAAAATGCATAAAACACAAAAATTCCTCACCCCCTCGACGACTGGCGACATCTTGTGCTCAGACATGGGCTTGGTAGCATCCGATCCAATCTGAAGTGAAGAAAGCGAATCGGAGTACGTTATCATCCGCACAATTACTTTGGGTAATTTTTTTCCTACATCAGTCCCCATTAAAGAGGCATTCTCTGCTCTCAAACACAGAATCGAAACTTTTGCTTACATTATTTCAATCAGTTTGTTTATTTCAAAGCCTTCGAAGATGCAGTTTAACGCGCCATTCAAAACCAGAAAGGAGGAAATATTTCTTCCTCTCCTTGAGCAAGGGGACGAAAAGAACGTGAGAAAAGTTGCAAGACCGAAACTGGAAAGTTGTTTATGGGTTGGGTGAAAAACAATTTCAAACTAAAAACGAAAACCCACTTATTCATTCAAATTCAAAATGGCCGCCATAGAGCCTCAGCCTTAAAGGTGCACTAAAGACATTTCTGAGATTGTCTGTTCTTGGTGATAACTTTCCTTATGGGCTCCATGCATCCTAGAAATCTAAAAATTATGCTCGCGCGACGTAGCTATTTCCCTACTAAAAATGTGATAGAAATTTATGCCATGCCCCTTTCTGAGCGGAAAAAATCTGAAGCACAGGATCAAACAAAAGCACCGGCGGCGTGATGACGGACGCGCATCAGCCAGACAAAGCCACCTCTCTCGGAAGGGCGGCTTGCGATTGGCTTAAATGTGCCCGTCGTCACCCCGGCAACGCCAGCGCTGGATACTGTCATGGATGAAGAAAGAATAAACAATTAAAACAGGGACAACACAACCACATCTTTCAACTAGCAACAGACGAGTAAACTTTCAACAGCGAGCAGCCGGCTATACCCAGTAGGAGTAGGGGAGAGAAGGGGGAGAGAAGGAAAGATAAAACACGCGAAGTGCAAGTCAGGGTGGTAGGGTTATCTCGGATTTTAAAAATTCAACCTCAGTTTTCGTCAGCAGGAGGGAAGGGTTTGACACGTTGTTTTTTGCTGTGGTCATGGCGAATGATTCTATGATTTCCCGGCCGAATCTGCTGTCATGCCCCCCGAGGATTTTTGTGCCATCAAAGAGGGGATGACAACTCAAACACGAACGGGCATGAATGACTATGGGATGATAAGAATCTGGAGAGGCCTTGGAAACTTCGTTGTGATGTTCGCGGAGTCTGTGATTGGTGCATCTGCCGGTCTGTCCTATGTATTGATGGCCACAGCTCAAGGGGACGGAGTAAACTTTCTTCTCTTTGCATGGAATGAATTTCTTTTCGTGCTTGACAGTGCATCCAATCGGAATCCGGTTGTTGTTTACCCGTTGACAGAGTTGTTTAAGACGCATGCGGCTCGAGAAGACAACATTCGTGTCAAACTTTGAGGCAATGAATTTTATCCGGTGGGCCGAATTGTGTACGTAAGGAATGACGGCGAATCGGGCTTTCTTTTTTGTGGCTGGTGACTGGCGATCAGGCCCGCGAATCATCCTTTCCATTACAGATCGGAGAAGGTCGACGGGATACCCTGCCCTGACAAGCCTACTGTGCTGCAATTTGAAGCTATCTTCTGAAAGATGACAGCAAGACTTCGTGAAGGATGAAGAAAACAACGATTTGATGATACCGTGTTTAACCGACTTCGAATGGGCGCTAGAAAACGGTAGGACAGGTTTGGAAGATCTTTGTTGAAAGGCCCAGCAGAGTCCAGTAGCACTGACATGAAGCAGCAAATCTAGGTACTGAAAACCTTCATTCGATGGTTCTTCCTTCGTGAATGTAAGGCCCGACGAACAAGCGGAAAAAACAGCTGTAATGCTATCTGGAGAAGTTCGAGCAGGATGAATGATTAGGTAATCGTCTACAAATCTGAAAACATGGCAGCCAGGCGCGGAGATGTCCAGTTGTGCTTTTATAGCTCTGTCAACGAATAAAAGGAATAATTCACTGAGAACAGGGGCGAGACATGAACCGATGCAAACTCCCTTTTTTTTGGCGGTAGATCCCTTTCTCATGTTCGACTAAGGTGGACTTAGTTGAAAGATGTAGTTGTGTTGTCCCTGTTTTAATTGTTTATTCTTTCTTCATCCATGACTTAAACCAACACGCTCTTCTACTAAGCATACCTGGATACTGTGCTTCAGATTTTTTCCGCTCAGACCGGGGCGTGGCACGAACGTCGATCAGATTTTTAGTAGGGAAATTGGATGTCACAGGAGCATAATTTTTCGATTTCTTGGATGTTAAGATCCCACAGAATGAGTTATCACCAAGAACAGACAATCTCAGAAACATCTTTAGTGCACCTTAAAATGTTATGTGTACTACGTAGAACAATTTAACCGATCAGTCTTAAATCACCGTGACAGAAATGTAGCCATGTTCATCTGTCTACTCACTAATCAAAACGAAAATCCAAACAGAACAACTACAAGTGGCAATGATTGTCGTGCAAGATCTCCTTAATTACCTTGTCTACGAGAGCCTCGACAATCCTGAATATTTTCTGGTCGTCGTGAGACACACATGTTTTTACCAGCACTGCAGCTACCTTGAACAACTCGAATGGAAAAAAAAGAAAAGCGACAGCTCTGGCAGACCTACAATGTCGTAGATGTACGGCATGAGCAGTTTCCCAAAATAATCCGTGGCCTCCAGCGGCAGCTGCGTTGGCATGTTGTCGATGGAGCACACCAGCACTCCCGGGCCTGCAAAGCTGTCCGGAGGGAAGTCGCTTGAATCTGTCCACAGTATTCGTCTATGCCGAACCGACAGCAAAGCGCCACCAGTGCAATCCATCATGCTCATGCTGTCTCAGCTAACAAAGCCTTAGCTAGCATGCCCCTTTAAAATTCAGCCTCAGCATTTCCTGTCCAGACCACAAACACAGGTCTGTTACATTTTTTACATTAATAAGCACCTATTTCCAAAGCAGTACATTTACAGCGTCGGCAATATTCACTTTTCTTTCTTTTGTAAATAAATTCATCTTTGCTATCTATTGACTGTGCTCGGCACACTTTCAACTTGCACATTTTGCTAGAATTACCAAAAATTTGAGTATCAGATCTTTGTGCAGTGTTGGAATTGACTGCTTTTTAAGGAAAGTTCACAGATTAAATCTCACAAACACTGCTAAACTGGTGGCATAACTCTGGACTAGAAGTGTACGTTTTGTGGATATTTTACTTCATTTTGCACATTGAGGAACAATCACTACCACTTCCTGTAACATAACATCGAAGTGTCTTGTATATTCTATTAAAAGTCATTCAGAGGATTGCCGAAAAATTAAAACAATTACTTGTTTGGTTGCATGCAGCTGTCGTTAAGAGTTTCCACTCTTCAGTGTTTATTTTTTTATGTTTCGAACTAATAAAGCAATCTTTATTTGAGTAAACTCATGTTGTAAATTATCAGTGTATCGGAATAGGGCTGCAATATTTGTTACATTGAGAATAAAAAAAAAACATATAGATCACCAACTGACGACCCTTTTTCTTCGTTTCTACAACAGTCCCCAAGTCCCACAATACAATTTGGTTTATAGCTTCAGATAAAACTTTCAAATGGTTCGCTACGATTACTCGTTCCTAAACATCTATAGAAGAACAGATGAAAATTGGGAAATGCCCACTACCAACTACAACCCTTGATTTTATTTTTTTTTTCACTGAAAAAGCTATGAACATGAATTTCTATTCAATAACTTTTATTGTATGTTCACCCCAAATTGCCTGCTAGTTTGTTCAGAAAATACACTGATGTTTTCGTGTGTGCAAACATAATTCGACGATCTAGCAACACTCAGTGGGTCTATATTGCACAATAAAAATGATATGAAAAGAGAGCTTATTAAAACACTGCCACAGGCTTCACTAAATGGCTATGAGTGCACTACAACTATTTGCGTAATCCTTACGACACAGGTGGCTCTTGGTTGCCTCACCAGCTCTTTTTTTGTTGCTGGCTGCAAGAACAGTTGAAAATGTCCATTAGATTCCAATTGGAATTTCTGATTGGTACCAGTTAGGTTTTCGGACAACCAACTGGTCACTGCCAATGGGAACCAACAAAAACCATTTGGAACCGATTCGGGTTCCAACTGGAAAAATTATTTCAATTAATGAGACCCATTGGCTAGTGTGCTTCCAATTGAAACCCACTAAAATTGATTGCTTCCATTTAAAACCAGTTAGAATTCCAATTGGATCTAATGGGAATTTTTAGCTGGGCCGGGTTATGGCAGTTAGAAAATTAATATGCATAGATACACACACAGCCTGGACACAATTTTCTGTTATTTCCTACTCTCCACTGTTTCTTTCCAGTCATCTGTTTGTCAAGACAGCCTCCTGTCATAGTTTCTTTCAAATATCAAAAATCTAATCAATTCTCAGTCTTTTTCGAGCATCGCTCATGGCCTTAATAAGATTTCGGTGCTTTGCGCATAAAACGTAAACCAAGTCCTGAGCTCCACCCATCGCCTGTAGCTTAAAATAACTTGTGTAACATAAAGGTGACTGCTAGTTAGAGTCCCACATAAATATTATTTCACTTATAACAAAGTACTGATATAACAAATATTTTTGATTACTCAAGATTGTGAAGGGTTGATTTTACTGTTTTGTTAAAACATAGACAGTACACTGTCCAATATATACTGCTATTTGTTATTTCAGGGTTCCTTTATTTCCTTATGTATAAATAGAAATTTCTGCTGTAGTACTATTGCTAAACAAGAAGCACAGTGCGACCTGCATATAAGAAACTCAAAATTATAACTTTTGTAAAATGGGCTTATGATATCAGGAGTTTGTTTTAAGTGGAGTATAATTAACAGATGATAAGCCTTCCTGCATGTTTAATATAAATATAGTTTGTTATTACAAAAGCTTATTATTACAGAAGCTTGTTATAACAGAAACTTTTTATTACAGAAGCTTGTGATTGCAGGAGCTTGTTATTATGAGAAGTTTATTGCAAGAGAAGTTTGTTCCAACAGAAATTTGTCCCAACAGAAGTTTGATGCAACATAAATTTGTTACAACAGAAGTTTGCTACAAGAGAAGTTTGCTACAAGAGAAGTTTGTTACAAGAGAAGTTTGTTACAAGAGAAGTTTGTTACAAGAGAAGTTTGTTACAAGAGAAGTTTGTTACAAGAGAAGTTTGTTACAAGAGAAGTTTGTTAGAACAGAAGTTTGTTACAAGAGAAGTTTGTTACAACAGAAGTTTGTTACAACAGAAGTTTGTTACAACAGAAGTTTGTTACAACAGAAGTTTGTTACAACAGAAGTTTGTTACAACAGAAGTTTGTTACAACAGAAGTTTATTATAACAAATTTGCTATGACTTAAGTTTACAACAACAAAAGCTTGTTAGAAGTGAACCTGTTTTAAGTGAACAGTATAGTAGTACTGGACAGTAAAACCCCCCTTTAGTCATTGAGATAGGCCTGTCTTTGGAACGCCCTGCCTCCAGCATGCACTTAATGCCTTCCTTTGGCCGCAGCTGCTCTCACCTGGACTATAGTTTCCCTCCTATTAAGACCTCGCAACGCACCTTTCGCTGTTCTTGTGCTGGTCGGCATCGTAGAGACAGAAGGGTGCGTCGATGGTGGTGCATTCATTCATGAACTCGATGGATCCACCGGGGTCTGCACTGATGTCGCAGATGGCCAGCAGGCGGTGTGGAAGAGACGGCGACCCGACACTGCTGGGCAGCCAGGGGGTGTTGGTGGGTTGGAGCAGGCGCTTGGCATCCGGAATGGTGAGCAGCTTGGGGGAATTGACCGCCCAGTAGATGCCATTCACAATCACCGAGGCGTACGGTGCTATCTGTGTGGGGCAGACCAAGGAACAGATTTGCTAGCTCCTAGACTTTTTTTTATTCATTCATTTATTCGCGAAGAAGCCCACATTGCCATGAGGCATTTTAGCAGAGGGTGGATTTTTGAAACATTCAGGAAACGTCGCTGGAATATATACATCAAATACATCTAGTACAGAAAACGAATGTACGAAAAGTTCTCCCAAAAACATCGCTGGAATTTTGAAAAATATCTATTGGCACAAAGATTGGACTAGTAGGAGGGACATTCTTTAATACGTCGTGACACTAAGTAATATACCTTTTCCTTAATGTCAGCTTTAATCTGGTTGTTCCACAGATGTAGCCTGTTTAGTGGGATATTTAATGCAAAAGCGTGTCTGGAACCCTTACAATCTGTAACTCTAATAAAAGAAACCTACTGGTTCACAGAAAGTTCTGATCCTCGGAGCCTAAGTGTTAACTCCTGGTACCACAACCGTATAGCAATGTTCACTGGCTTAAACTAGCAAACTCAACACTGATTCATTTAAAGACTAATTCATTTCAGTTTTCAAATAAACCCAATTCAGCTCTAGGATGATTAACTATAAGCTTTGGCTCCTCTTCTCGTGTTTATATTGAAAACTGAAACTTGCTGCCAACGCTCTTTAATAGTTTTTTTAGGGCGAATATTAGAAATTTTCAATAGGCTTCAGATAATACACTATTCGATATTCGCTTCGAGATCAGTTGCAATATTCGTATTCTTAGAAGTGTTGTTTCCGGCGGGTGAGTCCCGTTGAGCCCGCTTCTTGCCGAGCGCGGGTGCAGTGCGGAGAAGCAACACCCGTGAAAGAGAGCTGCGCGTGTGTTGCTTCTCCGCAGTACACCGGTGCTCGGTAAGAAGCCCACTCAACGGGGCTTACTCGCCGCGATCTACACTGAAAAGTGTAGATCGCGGCGACCTACACTTTACCTTCTCTCATACTGAGAAGTATGAGAGAAGGTAAAAAAAAACGTTGGGAGAAAAGCATGCTTTCAAAGCGAGATGGCGCACGCGCGTGCTTGGTATATATAAAAAGAAGGGGAAACTGCGAATGTTGATATCTACATTGCAGTAAAATTTTCAGAACTAATCTGGCTGTTATGCAAGAGTATATGTTAGACAGAGGTGCCTTGGCAGCCTGTAATCATCATTCGTGGTTTTCTCAAAATCTTGGTTGGAGAAATAATAATTGCATATATAGCAAGAAGTTGTACATCTGTTCAATTGGTTATAGCTGGGCATCTGAATAGGTTTCATTTTATGTAAAATTCGTCATTTTGCTTGCCATCCCAAGGCATCTGACTTTCTGAGGTGACTGTCCATAAATAGAGTTGGATTAAAATTATAGATCATAAATTAACAAGTGAAAGCTTGAGAACAACTTTCACAAGTTTAGCTGGGTTTTCGTTTAAGCATGGTGCAACAGTAGCAAAAGCCCTGGAGAAATTATTTGATATTAGATTATAAAATATTCTGTCAAAACCACTATTTGCTCCAAACTCAAAATCCTCTATTCACACATTTAAACTATTACCAATTGAATGATATCACCAATACCACAGTAAATATCAGGCATATGCACTTTAAACTGCTCAAATTACCAATTTAATAACATCACTGATACAGTACGTGAACATGAGGCATCCACTTTCAAGTGCCATTACAAATTAAATGATGCCACAATAATATAGCAAATATGAGGCATGCCATTGTTACCATTATCAATTAAAGAATGCAACTACCAATGCATCGGTAGATACGAGAGAGAAGTGCTCACGTCTTTGGAGAAAGTGGAATAGTATCTCTCGGGGAACTGGTCGCACTCCTCCGGATCGAAGTGGTCGTCCTCGATCCTGCGGTAATGGTCATCTCTGCTCACCACAGCTCCGTAAACTTTGTTGATGGCTGCAAAGGGAAGTTCATCAGTGAAGACTGTGAAACGCAATGCTTCCAGTCTTCTTATATTACTATCACACTTCTTGTATTGCGTCGATTGCATACAGCTGCCAAAGCTGCATATACCGTAGGCAAGCCCTAACCAGCTGGGAAAAGATGCTATGCCTCAGGCATTCTTGAAAGCTTTCCCACAAAAAGAAACATGTGCATGGAATGCCTGGCGGTCCCCCTTGACAAAATCGCCGCCTCTGATTTTTGATGATTGTGCATCTCACAACTTTGTCCCAATGTGTATGTGCCTAAACCGCTATACAACAAGCAACAACGTTGCGTGGCCAGAAGCCAGATTTCCAAAAACCAGCACTGGCGTAGTGATTTTTCACAGTTCCAAAAGAAAGTTGAACCTGCAAGAGATTCTGTGTGTGCACAATTGCTCTCAAGACAACACTTGCAGGGGCAGCTCGGAGATATGATGCGTGCTGGCACTCACTTCATACCATTGATGACTGTCTTCTTATAAGTGGTGCTTCCTTGCACTTTGCTATAACCATTTAAATGGAAGAGGGCCCCTTTCTCCACAGAACTATGTTTACACTCATTTGTAAAAGCTTAAGCTCCTGGCAAATATATTTGCATGTTTGCCAACAGTCACGTGGCCATGCAATTTTTTTTTTTTTCAACCAACGTATTTGCAGTTTTTTAGAGCCAGAAAAAATGGGTGTCATATTTTCTGTCGATTTCTAGTATTGAGTGTGTCCCTTCAATGACTCACGACTTTGATTATCTTAGGTGGTTGTGCCTAAACCATAGAAAACAGCATGTGACCACGGAGAACAGAGTGAGCGCGACTCAAGCCGGCCAGTTGTCGAATGGCGGTTTTTGGGTGGAAAGAAAACGAATTTCGAGCCGCAATTGTGTTCTGGGTAGTTGGGCTCTCATATCTCATTTACAAATTAAAACCTTGGCCACCATAAATATCCTGTCAGTGTACATTTAATGTTTGTCATGAGATCAAAGAAGAGCCCCTGCATCAAAATGAACATTATTTTCAACTAAATCTATTTCTGAAAGAATGCACAAAATTGAGCCTAGAGCAGCGAATAAATTTACAGAACTCTTACAATAGTGTTTAATTGCAGAAATAGTATCAAACTGAATCTGACTTGCAACTCTACTAGTTCGCTGTATTGTCGTGACGTCGGATGTTGTTTAAACACCAGCACATGGGCAGCTCGAGCCTGTTTCGTCCAGCGTCAAAAGCAGTCGGAAAGCCGTCGCGATCCTCCGAGAGAAACAATAGACTATGATTCATCAAGCTTGTCCGAGTCGAGCAATGACCAAGAAATGTTTGAAGATTTTCAGCATGAGATCGACAATATTTCGGATGATTTGCCATTTGCATTCAATCCGCTGTGATTGCCTTTGAAGAGACCACCCTTGTGATCCGCCGACATGTAGACCCATGTGCCGCTTCAGAAGCAGAGTGGATATGGAAGTTTTGTTAGCTGTCAAGTTGTACACTGTTTTCTAGCATGACACAAACGCTGGAAACCAATGTTCCGTCAAACTGCTAAGACCCACTTCCTTCACAGAGACTTCTCAGTCGGACAGCCAAGAGATGTCACGCTGCCGCATTTATTCGTGGCGTTATTGCACCCCACAGAACAGCACCAATTCCCTCCACCCTCTATCGCATGCCACAAATAGCCTTAACCAGAGAGACTCTGTAATACCATAGACGCTCACTAACGCTTCAATTCGCAATGCCGTAGAGGAAGGAGCGTCTGCTCTCGTATACCAGTAGAGCAGCAGCGAGTAATTTAGAGGTGTACGCATAAACTTTAATATTCATTTTCCTTCTAGAAAACGCACATTTTGATTGCATATTTGGTAGACATACTCGGGGGTGGTGAAAATTTTATAAAAATCGGTGACCTTCAATATTTTGTCGCCTTTAAAGCACCACCTTTTTTGCGAGCTCTCTGGAATGGAATGCTGCCGAGATATGCTGCAGCGAGCAAAAGAGGTGGCGCTTAAAATTAAATGGTGATGAACGTCGGATGGAAGAGGAGTAGAGGGTCTGTGCCTAACCAACCTAATACAATATAATTATTGATGCACTGGCTGTGTGCATACTGTGAAATCTGTGAGCCTATGCCATTCTTGTCAGATTTTGACATAAACCTACATTTGGTATATGCAAAAAATAGAACAGTTCAAGCAGCTGTTTTGTGTGATTGGTCCTTCGTGTATTGCTTTCCTCCGTGTATATATAATCGTTCTCCAAAACACTCAATTTTCCTAGTATTTTTTTTAATTTAATTTTTATTGCGATTTCTTAAACTAATTTGTTAAAAGCAACTGAAAGTGGCATTGCTTTCAGCCGTATTTATCAAAAATGAGGCGGGATTAATTTTTTGTTTTTATTTTAATTTCCTTTTTATCTTGTGACCTTTTAGAAAGAGAACAGTGTTTTACAGGGACACTTTTTAGTATGGTAATCCTTTGAAAATTGGGTGTGCTAACCAAACACAAACAAAGAATATCCAGAAAGCTGCTACATACAGCCCTGCTCAGCCACTTCAGGAAGGTCCTTGGGGTCCACCCATTCACAAGGCAGGTCTTCAAAGACATCTTGAGCACCCTGAATGGAAGATAAAAACACGACATGTGCCAAAGTAATTAGCAGACGTGTCTAGAAGCTCTTATTTATTATATTGCTAGTATTAGTTTTTTTTTTGCATATCTTGTTTTGCATGTTTTTGGGTCCCCTTGCACTCATAACTAATAATCTCACACACTTGTGCCTCTTCTTTTTGTGTTGTATATACTCCGATAGAGATGCTTTAAGTTTATGCTGTTAATGTACGTTAGACACACTGCAAAATAAATGTTTGTGAAAATTTCTTTTCACCCTTCAAAATCAGTGAGGTCGACCTATAGATTTGTTACTATTCACCGGGAGTTTTGTAGTGCCTGGGTCGACCTATATTCCGGATCGACCTATATACGAATAAATACACTTTCAATTGATTTTGAGCATTTCACAGGCCCTGGTGCAGTATTGCATACCTGTGAAACGTTCCCAGTGCCTGTGAAGACGAAGGTGAGGGGTCCGATGGAGCGGGGCATCATGCCCAAGGCGATCTCGTAGCCTGCGTCCCGGACTGCCTGCTTGGCCATGCCACTGTTGCGGTAGTTGTGCGCCGGACCGATGTGCTGCGGGGAGAAAATCACCACAGTCAGAAACAGGCTTTGACTAACAAAGGTTTAAAACTCGCGGAGGGCTTAAAGGGTCGTATTTTTTATTGTCTAAAACGATTCAAGTTGTAGTCATAGACACGCGAAAAAATCCCACATTGCAAAAACAAATTTTCTTACGCGCGCGCGTTCCTTTTTATTTTTGGCACCTTTCTCTCCCGCTCCTTGCCTACTCGCTTTTTTTGATTTGTGACGTCAAAAATCATGAAATTTAGAAGCTTTGTAGGCGACATTTCTAAAACGTTTAATAACGGCAATCGTAAAACATGTTTTTTAACACATTTACGAACACACTACAGCCCTTCTTTTTGAAATTCCAAAAATCGGAGTCCGGTGTGATGTCGCCTCTTGGATTTGTATCTTCCCCCGGAAAACATGCAATAAAACCAGTTTTTCATAGTCCGCCGGCGCCCTTATCTCCCGCTCCTCACCTCCTCGCTTCGGGTCGCGGTGGCAACAGCAGGGAGTCATGAAAGAAAGTCGACTCCCAGGACTCCGCAATATTTGACGTCAACGCACCGGCGCGGATCACGCGGGAACTTCGAATTCGACATTTGGAAATTGTTTTTTTACTTCCACAAATACTGAATTCCCAAGTTTCGAATTTTGAGGGTAACGTCCCGGCATCGTTTTCAATCGTTTCGGATAATAAAAAAACAAATATGATCTTGAGGTGTCAGTGCTTCTTTAAGGAAAGCAGGACGAGGCCAGTCTCGATCGCACCTTACAGTTGCAACCAAGAAATTGTGGCCTCAGCCCGTGGGATTTTCGAAGAAGGAATCACTAAGCAATAGACATGATCGTAATGGGTCCTACAGTCCTTAAGCTGACTGTGGCAAACAATTGTAGGAAGATTTGGAATAGTGGGAATCCCACGTCCAAGGGGCCCCACGCAGCACACAGAATGTGGGTTTGAATAAATGGAGCAATTTGAGGTTTTTTGGTGCACCAGTTGCAAAGGCCATGGTGAGCCAAAGCTACGATATGACGGTAGAAAAATGCAGGTTGATAGAGAACGATGCACTGTAGAGAGCTAGAATAATGCATTAAGAGTTGCGAGTTGATGCAGTAAGAGTATAGAGGCTGATATTGAAGTTGTAAACCACCCAATGTGACAATACAGGTTTCTATCTGTCGTAACGTTGCTATCTGTCACACTGTTTAGTTGTTTTTCGCGTTGCCCATCTGCCTTTGGAGGTACCGTTACTTGTTGCTTGGCCTTAAAAGTAACTCAGTATGTTACTCGCTCCTTTTCTAAAAAAAGTAACTAAATACATTACTTGTTACTGAAAAAGTAACTACGTAGCAATAACTCGTTACTAATAACGAGTACATTCTTGTAAATATATCAGCATAAACTTTTGAATTAGGTTTTAGCACGAAGAAAGAAACCACAGGAGAGGACAAACAGCTGTTTGTCCTTTCTCGTTTTCATGTTCAAGTATAATTCAAAAGTTCAAGCTGATATATCTATAAGTATATACCAACACACTCAATTCTTAATTGTCATTCAGCTACTAATAACGCATTATATACATGTCTGCTTCAGAGCACACCAGCTAATCAGGATGACTCCCCGTGACAACTGCCTCTCCAAACACCCCGGAGCAAAGACGCGCGCACCAGTGCAAAGCGGTGAAGCTTCACGCACATACTTCTACAGGGTGTCGAACCGGAACCCAGAAACAAACCGTCATTTTTACCGATTTTCACTGGGAGTTAAACAGTGTTCATCCTGCGATACAGTTTTCCTGCGAGGCAGAACAGCAGGGCATGTTGCCCTTCCTAGATGTATTTGTAATGAGGACAGGCGAACCGAACCACAGGATTGAAATGGATGTGTACCGCAAATTATGTGAAACTGATAATTTTTTTGGATTTTTTGTCCCATCACCCAGTGCAACGCAAGAAATCAGTAGTGCGATCGTTTGTACACAGATCAAAAACCGTGCCATCTAACGAGCTCCATGGCGCAGATGAAATGACTCATTTACAGGAAGCTTTAATGAAACGTCACTACCCAAAGCGTCTTGTTGACGAGGCCAAAACCAAATGAAACAAAATGTGCAACCGTGCGAAAGAGAAGATAAGAATTTAGTGTGCATCCCTATGTCACACAAGGCTCCGAACCTCTCAGTCGCGCTTTGATGCCCCTTGGCATTCATACTGTTTTCAAGCCATACAGAACTATTGGAAATTCCATTTCCAAACCAAAAGACCCAACCCCGGCGAACGTCCAGAGAGGAGTTATCTACAAGATCCCCTGCAGTGACTGCCCAGCGTCCTACATTGGCGAGACCGGATGGAGGAGAGAGACCAGACTCAAAGAACATAAGTGTGACGTCACATATTCCATGCGACGCGACTGAAGTCTGAACTGGTGGACCATGCGTGGACAATGGGGCATTCTTTTGACTTTCCGGCCGCGACGACCTCAGCGAGGGAGGACAGATGGGGGCTTTGAAAGCTCCTAGAAGCGTGGTTTGTGCCCTCTCCACGAAGCTTATACGGACATTCTTGATAAATAGCGTTGACTTGAGGTTGAACCTTGCATTTGCTTTGTAACTACTGAAGATGCCTCCCGCATGCGAGGCGAAACGTCTAATGAAATTGTTTTTTTCAGTTGTGTCAAGTCGGTGCTCTTATTTTAATTATGACGTCTCCCGGCTTTTGGAGTATTTTTGCGTTATTTTTAGCCAAACCGAAACTGAACCGAACCGAAATCTTCGCCGCCATCTTGGAACTGAACCAGAAAAAAATATAACAGTAACCGGTTCAAAACGGCTCATGGAATTTTTTAAAAATTTTTGTTAGTATTACAATATGAATATATGGGAATAATTAGTATCTGTTCTGGACGCATATATAACTTCTCAAACATATAGAAGTCTGCTATTCCCTCTTTTATGTGATGAACAGAACTTTTATGTGTCTGTCGGGTGGACAAAAACAACCTACACCGGGGCCCGTGGCAAAACTATGACGATTGTGCACGCAAACCATCAGAAAGCAAGCAATTAAGTAGCTGCCATATCGAGTAGAGCATAGACAAAGATTTGGTCCACCAGCCCAGTAGGCCTACAACCATCCAGTCCTGCAGCCTCGCTTACATCAGCATCGACGCCGGCACATCCTGCAGCGCCTCACAAAGAGCACGACACTATATTCGAAGCACCAGTTCGTCTGCTTCTTGCAGAGGGGTTATGACGATGTCAGATCGCTAAACTCGTTATTTGCTGATTGAAAAAAAAAATAGTTGGTAGATTTAAAGGCATTATAGTACAGAACACTTTCGTTAATTCGACCTCGAAGGGCCCTTGAAATTTGTTCGAATTATCCGAATGATCGAATTAAAAAAAGGACAGAAAAACGGTTAAAATTAAACTTCCTTTTATTGTCCAAAGTACTCACTGATGTTCTGCTGCCGTCTGCGCTTAAAACGCGTGTCCAAAAGCATCCTCCGCTGAGCAGCGTAACTAAACGGCACGTCCTCAAAAATTGCGTACAAAAAAAAAAAAAAAAACGAACAAAGTTTTACGAGCCGATTTTGGCGCCGGGCCAGACCGTCGGCGACAGAGAAAAATAACCAAAAATAAAAGGAAAAGAGAACCCGCGCCTTCCGACGCGCAAGATGGACCGCACACGATGCTACAGAAAAGCTCTTCGAGTGCGCGCCGAGAGAGCTTTCATCGTCGGCGACTAAAAAAAAAAAATAATAATAACAACAACAAAAAAGGAAAAGAGAACTTACGCTTTCCGGCGCGCCAGACGGACCGCACAAAATGTTACAGAGAAGCACTTTGAGAGCGCGCGCTGAATCCGCGCCCGACCGCGAGCTATGTTCTCCGCGCTACTCCACGTCAGATTGGTTGCGCTGGCGCGTGTCATTCGCTACGGTCCATTTCAACGGCGTAGACGAGCAGGTGCATATTTGCGCACGTTCTGCTTTGCAGCTAAGGGCCCGTGTTTCGCCGTCGTACATTGATGGTTTTTCTGCCGTGGTGCCGTGCAATCCGAGCCTGCGCTCATTCGCTCAAGGACGAACTATCCGATGCGGAGTCGTCCCGAGTTCGAACTATCGAACTCTTCCTCCCATAGAAATGCATGAACGCTCGCCGGAACTTTTGAACTAGATCGAATTAAACGAAAAGTCGAATTAACCGAGCTCGAACTAAAGAAGGTTTACTTATGGAGGTCAACTCACTATCTTTCCAATCAAATCCAATCAGAGCTCGGCATCATTCTGAAGTCACCGAAAGAAACTCTACGCAAGAAGCAGACGACTTGCTCTGCGCGGCGCCAAGACGGGCGCGTCTGCCGCAGCGTCTCTCGTCTAACTGTTTGCCGCTTGCTTTGTTCATCGGCCGCATTGCCACACCCCAGTGACGCGGCATATTTTGCCCCGAGTATGAGCTCACCATGAACGGAGTGTGATGTCCGAGAGCGAGCAGCCGGAGTCCCAGCCCGTGGAGGATGTTGATCATGCCCGCCTTGCCGGCGTACTTGCCGAAGGCCACGACGCGGGCCCCGTTCTCGTCGCACATGCGCTCGTAGTCGATAAGGCGGATGTTGCGCTCCAAGATGGCGTCCAGCATGGGCATGTTGGCCTCCTGCGCCTTGATGGTGTGCGAGAAGAAGGCGTACGTCTTGTTCGGGTGTAGCTGGTCGATGGGCACCTGCTTGACGCCGATGATGACTGGAACGTCGCTGATGTCCTCGGTCACCTCCGCTCCGGCATTCACGTAGGCCTGCACCAGTGTTGCAGGCGTTACAGAGAATCTAACGAAATATGTTACTGGTTACTTGCAAATAAAAAAAAAAACATTGCTTTTTATCTATGAATTGAAACTATCCACTGTTTTGGCGTTACAGGTGCGCATAAGCAACACATTTTAAGAAAGTGGGAGTGTTCGCATGGGGGAAAAAAAGGCAACACTTTGAAGGTATGGGATGAGTGAAATAATTAGTATGACTTGGCACCTAGAAACACAAAAAGAATTGAAGCATATTAATTTATTTAAGTCTTGGGAAGAGGATGTAACCTAACTACGTTGCTTGTTACTCGAAGTAAGCAAGTTTTCGTAGATCGTTTTTCCCGTCCCGCAACGCTCTCCGCAACGCGCTACGATACCTGCAACTCTACAGTCAAGGCCATTGGCGCGCAGGCGCAGTAGCGGCTTCTTCGTTGCGGAGGGCTTAGCGGAGGGGGAAACACGGTCTATGAAAACTGCCTAATAACAAAGTATGTTACCCGTTATGGTTTTGACACTTTAATGAGTACTAGTCATGATGTTTAAACCATGATACGGGAGGAACTTGCAGAAAATCTAGAATAGACAATAAAGGTGACAGACACAACCTCGAACAACTCAGCTAAGAATATTTATTTCATACAACGTTTTTAATGCCTCTCCAAAAGCCGTCCACAACATAATATATATATATATATTATTTTTTTTTAAGGTGACCCAATTTCTAAGCCACTTGGTTCCGAACACATCGTCGCATAATGCAATATCAGTAGGGCCAGGAGGGAACCCCACCGAAACTATTCAACAAAAGTAGGCCCTTTGACACACAGATACACAAAGAAATAGAACAATTTCACTTGAGATGGCCGGGTTCTCCGCATATAAACGTTGCAAACGTTTGTATATGTGTGTGTGTGTGGGGGGGGGGGGGGCATTCAAACGTTTGTATGCTCGCCCCCCTACAAACACACATTTCCTTTTTGCCAATCGATTTATTCTGGTGTTGGAAGACTACCCAATAAATCTTTTGCTACACTGTCATGTACACTGTACACAAGGACTGCAGAAGGGACTCCGGCCACAAAGAGCAACGAGTGCCTACTGTATCGAGGTGCATTAGGCACCGGGCGGAGCTTGGTCCTTGTGGATGCTCGGCCCACCTGGAATAGCCTAGCATCGTGACGTCATCGCAGTTGTGTTCGGCTAGGCCTCTACTGAGTCGAAGGAAGGGCCCAGCTGCTGAGTTGGCGCCATCCGAGTGGGATGAAGTCACGCGCAGCCAAAGCTGGTTGTTCCAAAGCTTTTTCAAGTGCTGGCTCGACGAAAAAAAAGGCAGATCTACTTTTATTTTCGTGACGCCAGACACACGATGCGTTAGTGAGGCTCTCTGGGAATTCGGGAGCGGAGCCGCTCGTGCAGATCCAGCTAGAAGACAAGGCCCGCATATGGCATCATCGATCCCCGAGTCGCCCCAGGCGGCAGACGCGTTGGCGTCACGGCGTGCAGGCGTCGCACTCGTTGTGAGACGCTGCGAGACGCGCGTGCGGCGACGCTGACGCTAACCAGACATCATGACGTTTGGGGAAAAAGGCAAGAGTTTGGGGGAAGCTCATCCCACCGCTTTCCACTAGCAGAGCGAACGTCGGAGAGCAGGTCGCCTCCTCTCCAGCTTTCCCTCTTTCCCGACGCCGAAAAAAGTTGTAATTAAAAAAAAAAAAATCCGTGCAAACGTTTTTATTTTTTCCGACTAATTTGCCTGTGAAGCAAAATGAAACATGAAAATGTGGACAGTTAGTCGCTCTTACAAAAGAAACCGAGATTGGTATAATGGGAGAAAAAGATTTTAAAATTGTATTGTTCGAAAATACCATGTACGTGCGGAACACTTCTACAGATATTCAAATTAAATGACAAACAGAAGAAAAATTCAGAATACAGAATATATAAAATGTGCTCCCCACCCATGCCTATTACTTGTGAAGGTTAGTATAGTGTAACTGATGTCTAGCTTTGGTTCGTCGGAGAGTTAGCCTCCGTTACACGTGCGCTTTTCAACAAAGGAATGCCTATATTGGTGAAACCTCACATCCCCAGCAGAATGCTTTCTTTGTGTTCTACCTTCATTATGTCTAATATTTAGCATTTTTGTCCGTCTTGTTGGGAACAAAATCGTGCACGCCGGCTCAGGACAGCATAGGAAATTATAGGGATGCTTACCGACAACCATCTGTTAAAGGAACACGAACCTCCCCCCTTCCCTCCCCTCCCCCCCCCCCCCCAAAAAAAAAAACAGCATTTCTTAAAATTTTTTTTGCCAGGCGATTTATTATGGTGTCAGAAGACTATCCAATCAATATTTTGCTATAGCGTCACGTGTATTTTTAACGAGTTCAAAACATGCAGCCGCTCAAAACCGAAATCGAAACTGGACATGGGAGGAAGAACAAATATAGAGGAGGAGAAAGTTAATGGAAGTCACGTGGCTATCCTGCTGCTTTTTTTTTTTTTTTTTTTCAATCAACGTATTTGCAGTTTTTTAGAAGCCACAAAAAAAAAATGGTTATCATATTTTTGTTTATTTTTAGTATGGAATGTGTGCCTTCGAAGATCCATGACTTTATCTTTAATGGTTGTGTCCAAACCACAGAAAACGGCACGTGACCACGGAGAAGACAGTGAGGGCGACTCAAACGGGCCAGTCTCGATCGGCGGTTTTCGGGTGGAAAGAAAAGGAATTTAGAGCCGTCCCCAATACTATTTTTGACAGGCCACCAGATTGTGATACTGCTCAAAACCACGTTAAAATTGAAACTACAGTTCTTTGGCTATTCTTCGCACTAAATTTAATTTCTTGACAACGCTCGGCAACCATCGATCACCGGTGATCAATGGCCTATGGGCGCGCTCAGGAAAGAGTTGACTCAGTCGAGAGAGGTCGGAGGAGCTTTCCACGACTTCTTAAACTGTCACCGACCATAGTTGGTATTGATAAAGAGCAGCGCACCTGGATCGGGTAGGCCCTCCGGTTGGACGGTTGCACGTAGACCTTGACGCCGTTCTTGGTGAGGGCCCTGACGTGGTGGGGGGCCAGGGGGGCGCGCCGTTCCCACAGGGAGGCATCTTCTCGCCGGATGGCGATCGTCTGCAGGGTTAAAGTGGCGTTCATCTTCCACCTTTGCGAGGCTTTCACGTGAGGTCATCGTTCCATGCTGGTGGTCTCTTCTACATTTTGTTTTGCCGAGGAAAACAATTTCGGTAGTGCGAACTGTACGAAGGCGCGCTCAGCATCCGGGAAGCCGATGTGAAGTCAATAGAAGCCACGTATTGCACGACACTGATCTCTATTGCAGTAGGCTAGATCGTGGATCGGGGCTTATCTTGCCGGAGTCGAGGGATACCACTGGCAGTCCTCACTTGACACCAGCTAATGCATGGGACTCTATGGAAAAAAAACGAGGAAAAAGTGCCGTTTCCCCCGTTTCTAAGCTGTGGTCGGCACTGGAACTCTTTGGCTGGTTTTCAGGAAGCCTGTCGGATAGCTTGCGCACAAGCATTACAACTGACAGCCCTCGCAGCTCCTATAAATTAACGTTTTGTGGTCGAGAGTGACTCCGCTGGGCGAGAAATGATCATGGATGACGAAAGAATAAACAATTAAAACAGGGACAACACAACCACACATGAAAGATGTGGTTGTGTTGTCCCTGTTTTAATTGTTTATTCTTTCGTCATCCATGACTTAAACCAACACGCTCTTCTACCGAGAAATGAAGTGCAGCTCAATGAGACAAGAGTGACCTCGCGGATTCGGTGGCGGTTTCGATGAGTTGGGTTTAGCAGACGACAATCTTGAAGGCCTTTCTACGCGGAATTCGCTCACTCCCGGAAAGCCGCTGTCAACATGGATTTTTTTCGACATTCATCAAATTCAGGGCTTACCCGAGGACGGTCTTTTTGACGGCAAGTTCCTTCGTTTACTATGAGACAAAGCTTGCCAGCTCAGCCGTGGGTGCTCCGGCACGTTTGATATTTCTATTTGGCGTTTGAACGCTGGACACATACCGATTCGATCTCTAAACACCCGGCATAATTATAGCAGCACATCATAAAATACTCGAATTCGAGCACAGCGCAAGAGTTTCAAGATTCCTCCTTTTATATTCTCCCATAGACTCGCGTGTATTGCCTGGTGTCAAGGTATTGGCGGCGATTCTGCCATCGGGCTCCCGATCCGCCACCCAGCCTATAGTGCAATAGAGATCAATGTCGCACCATGTCATTTAGACGATTGCAAGCAAAACAACTTGCCGCCGCCATGTCCCCACTCGTGCGGGAAAGCCCGTGCGATTTCAAGCCTGCCGAAGGTATCATAACGCGCACACTGCACGTGCTTGCACGCATGGAGCACCAATCGGGGCACCCTCGTAATAGACCTATCTCACTGAGCGTCTACGCATGTCTAAAGAACGATCCAAACCAACGTGTTTTTGTGCGCGGGTAGGCCGTGCGTCTCCCGGAAATTGCGTATTTCGTGACGTCGCACTGCTACCTTGCGCCTTCCGCGCGCGCATAAGAAAGGTGGATGATTTCAACTTCTGACGCGTACGAAAACGCGCTGTGAAATAGTAGGGCGCTCCTCTCCCGACCAATCGGTGGAGGGCACTAGTTCCGGCTCCGCGTTTCTTCACCGTCTGGCGCAGATGCTCTCCGCTCGCCCGAAAGCGCACCGTCCTAACCAACGCGCATGCTTGTGACTCAGAAACCCTTACAAAAATCAGTAGTTAAATTCTTTTGAATTTTTGTTGAAAATTTTCTGGAGTCCTATTGAATTTCTTTTTAAACTTTTTTTTTAATTTTTTTTAGACTTCGTTTTGACAACTTATTTAATTCCTGGTTAAAATTGGCCACTTAAATTTTTCAGAATTCCTTCTTACATACATTCTTTTGAATTCCTTCTTACATAAATTTTGTTGAATTCCTTTTGACAAAACCGCAGATTAACGTTTAAAAAAAAAAAACACTAAATTTTTTAATATATATTTTTTAATTTCGTTAGGGAATAGTGTCTTTTCGATACATACATATCCCATAAATAAGCAATGTAAACAAACACAAACACTATCAAGCACTCAACACCAGAAACACAGTCCTGCTGACAGCACCAGAGCCTTATATGGCCTACATATTGAAGGTAATCATTTGGCCGGTGACCACGTCTCAGCACTTACTAAGTTTCCAAGTCTCCGGTCTCCTCGTCGAAAGTCTGTCCAAGGAAAGACAGTGTTTCGAAGTTCGCGGACTCTATCTCTTACTAAAAAGCATTGGTACAACTAATAATAATTTCGTGTAGTCGCTAAAACAACATCCACAAAAACGGCTCATAGAACAAATGTTTATCGCTTCTCTGAATAGCACCACTCGGGACGAAGCCAGTCAAGGCGGTTGCTTCACTTTAATATAGTTAGTTTGCTCTTCTTTACTAGTTGAATAGGGTCAATAATGCAACGATTGTCATTTACAAAGTGAGAACGGCAGGGCGTGTTTTTCGAACGCCTGCCCTCCAGCACGCGCCCCATGCCTTCCGTCGTGCTTTGAGTGCGCAGTCGAGCTCGAGGGGCGCGAGACGTCGAAGAGTTGTCAAGGATAGAAGGCTCGCGCTGGAGGCAGGAGAACGGAAGCTCCTCCCTATGGTTCTCAACTTGTCAGAGACTATTGAGAAACTTAGTGACTTTTGACATTGAGTCAAGATGAATTATGTTCAATAAAAAGTCAACAGAAAGTGTGTAGCTTTTCTTTTGACACTGGCTACAGAAAGTCAACTGAATAATTTAAACACGAAGTAAATAGAACGTCTGCAGTATTTCTGATAACACATTCAACAGGAAGTCAACAGAAAAAAGATCCAACGTAGTGTTAATAGAAAGTCAATAGAAAATCATAAAAAAAGTTTCAACACAAAATCAACAAACTTTTTGTTGACCATGTCAACAGGAAGTCAGTCGAAATAAAGTAATGAAAGTGAACAAGAAGTCAACACATTTTCAATAAAAAGTAGGAAAAAAAAAATCCGTCATATCGGACCCCGCACACGACCGCAGGCCAAATAAAATAATAAAAAAATGTCTCTTTTCATAAAATATTATAAAGAAATAATGTCAATAGGTTTTCTTTTTATTTTTTAGAAAATAAGCTACAAAAAACGTTGTTACAACTTCTTTTTATTTTTTTTATAAATAAGTCTACAAAACAAAATCTATTGTTTTTCCTTTTGAATTTTTTTAGAAAATAATCTACAGAAAAACGTCTTTACAAGTTCTTTTTAATTTTTTTATAAATAAGTCTACAAAACAAAATCTATTGTTTTTCCTGTTGAATTTTTTTAGAAAATATCCTATAGAAAAACGTCTTTACAAGTTCTTTTTAATTTTTTTATAAATAAGTCTACAAAAAAATTCAATATTTTTTTCTTCTGAAAGTTTTTTTGACAATAGTCCAAACAAAGTGCGTTTATAAAGGAATTCAGTAGGATCGCGGAAAGTCAATAAGAAGTCTAAAAAAATTAAAAAGAATGTTGAGACCCGTTTTTGTAAGGGAAGCGCACCGGAAACAGCAAAACCGTCACGAAATACGCAATTTCCGGGAAGCGCACGGCTTACGCGCGCACAAAAACGCGTTGGATTAGATCGCGCTTGAAGGCCCGTTCACACTCTTGCGACCGAGTACGACCGAGAGAGACCAGACCGATTTTTAAGCCTCTTGCGATCTCTTAGGACTAGCTCCGCTGCAGCGCATCCGGTCCTAAGAAGTCGCAAAAGGCTTAAAAACCGGTCTGGTCTCTCTCGGTCTTACTCGGTCGCAAGAGTGTGAACGGCGCTTAAAAACGCTGCCTGCCCCTTGTGAAGTACAGTTATGCCGGTATCATGCATGCGTGGAACGCTTAGTGAGATCGGTTTATTAATCCTAAGATCTAACGCTCTTACTGTTGGACACCGTCTATACAGAAACGAAAACAAAATGGGATGTAAGAACGACCTCTCGCGCACCTAGTCAATACGCTAAAACCTGCCGAAAAAGAGCGAGGGACAAGACAGCTTGGCCTATCGTCTGTTATCGAGGCTTGTTTCGTTTGCAAACATGGCGTCCCGACTGGTACAAGCACATGCAGCGTGCGCGTTGCTTTGGCCGGCTTGAAGTTGCACGTGCCTGCTCACACGAGCGGGAACATGGAAACGGCTGTTTGCAATCGTCTATAGGCCTGTAGCTCTCAAGTTTGAGCAGCGTCTCTGACGAGCATTTTTCGGCCAAGTTTCGGTTGTGCATTACGCTGTCTCGAATAGACATATTGCTAAGTTACCCAAGCATCAAGAAGGATGCCGGGATTGGTGTTCCACGCGCCACATGCGTACGCCTTCCCAGTATAAGATATTTGAAGTAAATAACCAAAAATAAGCGTTGACGAACGCACGTGAAAGATGCAGTTTGTTTTAGGTATTTGCTTTAGAAAAGTTACTACTGCTGAGGCCAGCACGTGCGGCGCGTGGAACACCAATCCCGACATTCTCCTTGATGCTTGGGTAATATAGCAATAGGTCTATTGGTCGCGGGCACCATGGCAGAATTTCATTAGTATATATAAATTAAAAAAAAAAAAGACCAAGAACAAGAAAGGAATTTTTATGTTTTAGATAAGATACTAAGAGTGCGAGCAGATCTTCTCTGGTGTTATTTTTGAAGTTCTTTCATGCGCTCTGTCCATAGACAGACACGCGCTTGTAAACGATCATGATTCGTACACGACCGAGCACTGGAGTACCGATTTATGCTCAATTAGAGTACTAGAAACGACACCGGAGTGCTATTTTGATACCTCCGCATGTGGATAAAACGGCTAATCCAAGCCACTTCGCTCGTAGCGCCCTCTCGGGCGCTACGAGCGAAGTGGCTTTTCATGAAAATCCGCTTCGTTTCAACGCCATGCTCGACCGGCACACTGGTCAAGGTCATAGAAACGATAGAACGCCGGACTATATTTTTTATACAACCTAGACATCAGGCGTCACGCGCATAAATTCACCGTTACCTGACTTGTCACAACGCCATGCGACATAAGGACGACGCCTAGACGTCAACGTCGGCATCGACGTTGACAGCGTGCGTTACACGACGTCAAGACTGCGTTCTGACGTCATACTGCGTTGACCACGACGAGGATGTCAACGGTGACGTCGATGACGACGACAACGTCACAGGACGTCAAGATGACGGCGTCCTTGTCAATGCAACGTCATTAGGACGCTTGGGGTCAGTTCGTTGACGTCGTCGTCGACATGACGCGACTCGACGTGACGAAGACGTCCTGACAGCTTCACGACATCGACGTCATCGTCGACGAAGTTACACGACGTCAAGACTTCGTCGTGAGTGCGCGTCGACGTTGATGCTGGCGAAGGCGACAACGTTACACGCAGTCTATTCTTCGTCGTGACGTCATAGCGATGTTTGACGTTGCGTGGGGCGTCCACGGCAACGTTGGCTTTGACGACCACGTTCACGTCGTCCTCGATGTGGCGCGCGACGTCATGACCGCGTTACAACGGTGACTTCATGTCGCGTAATGGCGTCGTCCTCAACGCGACGCAATGTCACGACCGCATCACAACGGCGACTTGATGTCGCCAAACGGCGTCCTCCTCGACGCGACGCGATGTCACGACCGCATCACAACGGCGACTTGATGTCGCGTAACGTCGTCGACGATGACGTCGTGGCGTCGTCGTGTCGCGGTGCTTTGACGTTACCTCTGACGTCAAAATCATAAAAAATACAATATAGCCCCTCAGGGGCTATATTGCCTATATGACCTTGACTTGTAGAAGAATCTGAAGTTGGGCAAGTCGGTACATCTTAGATTCGAAAAGCGCCAGAAAACAAGGACAGCAGAAGGAATAGACGAAACGATGCGCTACTTTCAATTGAATTTTTATTCGGAAGAACAAACATATATACACACTCAAGCACCCATTTGCTTGTAACCAAACTTCTCGTGAGATGAATTCAAATGCCTTATCTGATAAAAGGACTGAGGAAGTCCTTTTATCAGATGATAAAATCAGGGTGAAGGGCGATGCATGTATCAGCACTTCCTCAGTCCTTTTATCAGATAAGGAATTTCAATTCATCTCACGACAAGTTTAATTACAAGCAAATGGTTACTTGAGTGTGTATATATATGTTTGTTTTTCCGAATAAAAATTCGGTTGAAAGTAGCGCATCGTTTCGTGTATTCCTTCTGCTGTCCTTGTTTTCTGGCGCTTTTCGAATCTAAGACCTTGTGTCGTTGCTTGATCGCAGCGAAGGTGGCGCTGCGATCAAAGTGGCTTGGTTCCACCTGATCGCTTTATAGACGCTTTACACACGCGCCAAATTACAGCCGCCATCGCTGACCTTCTCTTGTCCTACCGAGATTCCCAGCAACTCAAACGGTAGTTTACGATCCTCTACAAAGGCCGATGCTTTAGAAAAGGACACAGTGTAATCTAATATGGCAATAACCTGGCCTGCTATCGTAATGATGAAGTGAAATAAACGGAATAAGAGGAAACAAAAACTGAAGGTCAGTTATGGCGGCGTCCATGCACAGCTGCTGCAAAGCGTCTATAGATTTTGAGGTGCAACTGAAAGCATGAGCGGAGCCTGTAGCTCCCTCTCACTCGTTCCTTCTAGTACACTCTAGCTCAATGCAGTCATTACGTAGCTGCTATGGCGGCTGAGAGCACCAGGCATTTTGCGTTCGTCCTTTCACGCGTGTGTGTGTTATTCGCTGTTGCATGTACACTTTAGCTTTTTCCTGTCCCCCACCGATGCTGCGCAATACATGAAGTGAGGCCACGCCACAGACATGATGTCATATCAGTGAGGGTAGGAGCCTCCAGTCTCCGGGAGGACGTTGTACCAGTCATCTTATAATTGCATGGTCGATGAAATATCTGTGACGATTGGAGCCTCCAGTTTTTAGGGGGACATTCGTCTAGTCACCTTATGTCTGCATGGTCGAAGCTCGCTGCGGCTCCTGGACAGCACAGTCCTTAGGAAGGCCAGCCGCTGGCCCTTCACCATATGCAGCATTTTATCTGAAAAAGATAAGAACGTACGTGTGAGTATAGATGGACCTTAATGCCCTTCCGCGTACGCCCTTCTACCGTTACAAGAGAGCAGATGCAAGAAAATCAGGTGGCACAAACCCGTAATTTCCGGCTGGTTGCCATCCCCCCCTGGGGCAGGCCTCTCCGGCGGCCATTTAAATTTTTTTTTTTAACAAGTAAAAGACGACGTTTTCTTTTTTCTTTTTTTTCTTTTTTTTTGCAGCGCGAGGACATGGCAAAATCGTACTGCGTACCACTACCTACTGTAACCTGACCTGCTCACAGAATGGCTACGTTGCCGCCGATGAAGTGCCTCGTTTTGCCATTGAGGGCGCTGGGTAATGGCTTTTCTGCGACCCAAACCAACACCACCTAGACAGAAGGCCTCCACACGCGTCATCATAGTCAGATCGATCGAGGCGAGAGATTGGGCACGAGTGCTGCGTCAGTGTTCGGCTGCGGCTCGTGGCCAATCAGCGCGTCGAAGGTCGGGCTCGGGTCCAATAGCCGACCGAGCGCAATCCGACTGTGATGACGTTTCATAGAAGAAGAGGAAACCATGCGGAGGCCTTCTGTCTAGGTGGTGTTGCCCAAACGCGGTTCACTGCCTGTCTAGCGAACGGTTCGGACGATGCAGATATCTGTTTCTCGGGAACACGTGGCGCCAGCAGGCTGCAGAAGCTGAGTACGTAGCAGTGTGCATCGCTCTTATGTTTGCTTGGACCTAAAGTCACTGGATCCTGGGAAAGTAGCGCCATTGCCTTCCCTACCTGCTAGCCGGACACAAACGGATACTAACATACAGACGACCCAAACCTAGCAAGGCGATTGGCTAATCGGTCTACGTTGCCATGGAAATCGCCATCTTGGTCCATTTAAATCTTCGAAGCTTCCAGAGGGTCGTTCTAAACCAGTCGCGCCAAGATTACCATGGAGCATCATCGTACTGGAGGCGTTCCTCGCCAATATAAGGGTCTTTGGCATTCTGTATGCAATCAACTTATTATTCATGCCCATCTCCACGGATCTCTTACAATTGTATTGTTCTTCTTGCGTATTTCAACACGGTAAACTTATTTTTCAGTGCCTCCAAGCACCGACACAGCATCTCGTGGTGGTACGAAGGTGTACGCTTGTTTCGCCGGTGTGTGGTTAGCATTATCTCGGTATACAAAAAAAACGACTGAATAAAGCTACCCGTCACCAGCGAATCTAGATCGGCTCACCAAGAACGGAGGGGTCAAGGAGAAATTGCTCATTTCACGGACCAAGATGGCGACCCCACGGGGAGCTTGGCGTTACTTTCCCAGGATCCAGTGACTTTACTTGGACCGAAAGAGCGCGTTTCTCGGGCACGGAAGTGCAAAGGCGTTTTTTTAGCCCCGATTGCTCTTGTACCATCGTCGAAATAAGGCGCGTTTTCGGATCACCCACAAACAGCCACTGAGCTGGCAGCCGGCACTTCTAATGACGAATATGTCACGCGACCACCGACTGACATCTCGATCCCGCGATTGAAAACATTTTTATTTCAGAAAAAAAAAAATTGGTGAGGAAAGAAGTTATGTTTATCCCAATTCCAGGATTCCACTGGCCTACGCTGCGGTGGCCCTCTCCACCAGCCAATGCTGGCAGGCAGGGTCATCGCTGCGCCGGACGGCCTACCACTGCTCCCTTGACGTGTGTGAGATTAGGTCTATAGTTGGTGTGTGTTGGCATGCCCATACCAAATTTGCCCATACTGTGTGGTATCCGTCCGCCTTCTCCCGGCAGTGCGGGCAGAAGGGGGAATATAGTGAGGTGGACCAGGAGTGGGTAGTTTCGCCAACGTGGGCAGTGTGTCTGTCTGTAGTCTCCTAAGATGTATTCATCTTCTTTAGTTAGGATTTTGTCCGGAGGAGGGTATACGTTCTTCTGTTCAGTCTCAATATATTTAAATATTCGTCGAGGGTTACGGTCGCCATGTCCAAAGACGGTGGTTGGCATGAGGGGGCCCGAATGAGTAGACCTCGGGCTGTGGCGTTGGCGGCCTCGTTCTCCTTTTGCCCCGTGTGTCCTGGCGTCCAGGTGAGAAACACCTTCTCCGGTGGGTGTTTACGAACTATTTGATGGGCGAGTGTGTTGACTGAGCCCTGAATGAAGTGTCTACAGGCCTCTTGCGTGTCTGTGAGAATTATTGCGCGGAGGTTGTAGATGATGGCTACGACGATGGTTGCCTCTTCCCGTGTGTGACGACTTTGGTCTTCATTGACGCTGAGTGTACTACTCTTCCGTCCGGTGTCGTGACGACAGCTACCATATGTCCTTCTTGAGTTCCGGCAGCGTCCACGAATAGCGTGTTCTGGTCGTTGTCCCATAATCTAAAGAGGGACTCAGCCCTAGCTCTCCTCCTCTCGGCATCATGTACGGAGTGCTATTGGACTGACGCTAATTTTCTCCCTCATGTCCGGGGTGAAATCTTCTAGGGGCTCTGGTTGCCCGCCAGGGATGGTGAGGCCTAACTGCTCCAAGAGCCACTTGTCATTCGCTGTTTTATTTAATCGCCTCATTTGGGCGAGCTTCTTAGCTTCCCAAAGCTCTTCTCCGTGTTGTGGGCCCCGAGCTCCAAAAGTCTGCAGGAGGATGTAGAGCTCGGAATACCCAAGGCCGTCTTATATGCTTTTCTAATTATAAGACCCAGTTTCCCCACCTCAACCTTTGTAAAGCGGAGGTACGGCGTCCCGTAAACAATGCGAGAGACGACGAAGGCCTGCACTAGCCGTGAAGCTTCCTTCTCACCAAATCCGTGGCGTTTGTTTCTTATTCTTCTGATCATCTTGAACACTTGCTCAGTTGTTCCCCCGAGCTTCTTGATTGTGGCCCCAACTCCCCAGCCCTGCGGATGTATTGCCCCAGGATTTCGATACAGTCGGGTCGTGCAACCGACTCGCCATTGATGTCAATTTCAATGCGCTCGCTTGTTTTCTGTCTGGGGTCTTTAAGATTAGAAGCTCGATGTCTAGGACGATGTCTAGGACGGCCTCAAGAAAGACGTCTAGAACGACCTCAAGGACGACTTTGAGGACGACCTCAGGGACGGCGTTTAGGACGACCTCAGGAACGAAGTCTAGGACGACCTCAAGGGCAACTTCTAGGACGACCTCGAGGACAACGTCTACGACGACCTCAAGGACGACATCAAGGAAGACTTCTAGGACGACCTCAAGGACAGCCTCTCGGACAACCGCGTTCTCGGACACGCAGTGCTCGGATCCAATCTATGAGCCGCACTCAAACATTGTCACTGGTGCGTATTGCCTAGCGCACACTCGACCAGTTACATTAGCGAACACCAGCTCCGAGAACGTGGATCGAAAGGTCGCGCTGCAGGATCCTGGGTTCACCAGGATCCTGCAGCTCCACCTTTTCCATTTCGGCGGCCACTTTTCGTGGCGATCTGCTAGGCTTTGTCAGTATATTAGGAGGCTATGACACATCTCATGAGACGGACCATTTCCCAAGTTGCGAGACGCTCTGTCTCACAACCGCGCCAGCGAATATTTTTACCTTCGCAGCTCGTAGAAGTTCATAGCTTCACACGCGCCTCGCGCTTGCTTGCATCGATGAAAGAAACCATCACTCGAAAAAATCCTCATTATCACTTCGGGATTTTAAACAAAACATCTAGCAGACGGCCACAAAACAACTTGCGCGGCGCTAATATTTAGGTTCTGGAACCATGTCACACTCTTCCATGCTAAGGTGATACAAAGTAGTTTTCTAAATGGAGTTTAAATTGCGTTTCACAACCGAGGTCGCATAGCAACGGGGACTATACGTCACCGCCGTTGTCGGTGTTCGTGGCTCCGCAGAAAAAAGGCGAATGAAAACAAAACATGAATAAAATATCACGGCGGAATGAGATCTCAAAAGGAGCGAGTAAATGATTTGTGAGCAGCAATAATTACCCGCGGATTTCTAGTAACTAACCTAATTCTTCCTATATGGAAAGTTACATTAGTCAATATATTGTGTTCTTTTTTTGTTTTGTTTTTCATTTCCTCAGTTTTTGATACTAGCAAGTTTTATAACAGCGTACGATAAATCTTTGCGTACGCAAAAAACATAGCGTCGTCGGCATGCGACAATTTAAAACACGTTTTGGGCTCGGCACATGCGCAGACGGCATCAATGTCTATATTTATTTGCGTACGCTCTTCTGAAACTCGCAAAGACTTGTATACGACCGAAAAAGAAACTACTAAATATCTTGTCGAAAACTTTGTTGAGACAGATTCGTTGATAATGATCAGGGCTGAGAAATCAAATGACCTACCAAATGTAGACTTAGGGATGTTGCAGATCCTGTACTTTCCAGCCACCTTTGCGACGTGTGAAGATGTGTTTAGTTCAGCAGAACTCGCTGTCCAGAAACAAAGGGACTTGCTGTATTCGACAAACTCACACAAATTGCTTTGTTTACGCAGCTGGCTCCATTAAATGCAAGAATATTGCTAGCAGAAACTAATGCCCCGCTTGTTTGTACTGCTATATAAAAAATGGTGAAATCCTTTCTTTTTATTTTTCACAAACACCGTTTATGTACACGTAGCAGAGCGCGTTGGATGGAGTACAGTTCACACGGAAAGAATAAAAACACAGAAAATATACCGGGGACAGACACGCACAGTTCTTTCAATGAGCAACTACATTTAAATGATGCCCATTACACTATGGTGAACCGCATTGGTCAAAGAGATAATTAAGTGAAGACGAAAATACTAGAAGATACAAGAAAAAGATAAAAGTAAAGATAGCTGCATTTAACTTCCTGAAAAGGAAGAAGAAGAAGAAGAAGACGGCGCTAGGAAATCCATCTCTGACGTCGATAACGACATCGAGGGCTCGGAAACATTGTCTGTGGCAGGTTTGATCTTAAATGCTTCGATTATCTCTCGGCCATACTTGTCCTTGTCTGAGCCTAGCACGGTAGTGTTTTCATAGCTAGG